ATCCTATCAGTCGCCCGCTCCAAACCAACAGCAAAGCGGCGGCAATCACAATCAATACGCACCCCCAACTGGCGCCCCGCCGCAAGGCTACTATACACCCCCAAACCAGCCGCCACATGGTGCTCCTCAAGGCCAGTCACCCTATGGTGGATATTCTCACAGCCCCCAACCGCCCTCGGGTGGCCCTGGTGCGCCTTACTCTCAAGGACAGCAAAACTATGGAGCACCTCAACATGCGCCTCCCCAAGGAGGGGCCCCCCAATACGCTCCTCCGGCTGGTGGTTATGGCAATGCCTACCCCGGTGGCCAGCACGGCCAGGGAAACTATGGCGGGCAACCTCCATACGGTCAGCAACCCTCGCAGGGATACGGCGCTCCTCACTACTGAAGCGCTCAGCATGAGGATATGATATTAGATGCCGTTGCCCGGAGTGTTATCTATCCCCAGCCAGCTATGCCATCTTGCAGACCTGTCGAGGATACACTGGCTGGGCAGTGAGGAGGGGAGATGGTGTTGCATACATTCTTAAATGTCTCCAACCCGGGAAAACACATCTGTTTGCAGTCCCAGTGGTTCATCAAGATGCATGATTAATGATTTGCGCATATTTCTTTTTGGCAAATTTGCAGCTCTTATCTGTAGATAGCGGAGTACTGTCCAAAAAATATTTCGTCCCATGTTCCGAGTTTTTCTTTTACTGCACCTTTTTCTGAGCGGCAGGGGCATCACCGGCAAAGGATCGCAGAGAAGTTGCGACCCATCTGGCAACAAACCAAGTGATTATGGAGAAGCAGACGATGTACCCCAGCGTTGGAAGTAGTGAACGAGGGAGGAGATTGTACAGAAACGGGTCCAGGGTGAGGTCGACCAAGACTGGGGGAGGGTTCCTCATGAGCTCCTGATCATGTGTGAAGTAGTCCGCCGTGGCGTGGATCCGTAAGAGGAGGACGGACGACTGCCTCTCTCCTGCGTCGCCGTCCTGGGCGGGACGGTAGACCCGGGGCTTTGGGTCGGCCTCATCATCATCCTGGCGGGAGATGGCATATTCAGCGAGGGACTGGATGAGTTCCGGTGTTTCCCAGACTGTGTTGAGCTCAAAGACATCCAGAGCAAAATTTGTTGGTTCCTATTTTATTTTTGTTTTGTCTTCGGTTATTAAACTCTCTTGTTTTTCTTTGGGAATAAATCTAGATAGAGGAAAATAAATCATTTCTATAGCGATGATGGGTTATACGTACAAGAGCAGCCCAGCAGACACGGAGCTCGTATCTCTGCCCCTCTGTGAGTGTGTCGAGGAGAAGCCAGGTAGCAGGGGGGTCGACGCCCTCCTGGGGGAATTGGCGGGCCAGGCGAGTGCGGATGGTGTTGCCCGTGGCCTCGGGCGTGAGGGTGTGGAGATTGAGGTCGGAGAGCGTGGGCTTCTGGAGCGGGATGTTGACGGTGGCAGGGCCGAGGAATATGGCCTTCTCCACGTTGGCCGAGGTGAAGGTTGTGAGAGCCCCGATGAGGAGGAGGAGGGAAGTGAGTAGCCTTGGGGCTAGGGGGTTTGATGGGATTAGCATGATGGTGAAGGTTGTTGTCCGCTATTGTCTCTCCTGGTTTGGGCTAATGTCTTTTTCCTACTGCAGGCGTTGGATGGTGAAGTGTGAACTGACGATGGTCCGTACGTCACTGCCAGCTGTCAGAGTATCAGCAAATCTGGCCCGGTACCTGTCAGATCCCTGTAGCAGCCCTTTTGGATGGTCTGTGTGGCATTTGAGTGGGTGTGCTTGTCTCGTTGATAATCTGGCTGCCTCGCCGGTTGCTACGGAGTACTCGGGTGAAGATTATGACATGGACATCTGTGTTATTCGTCTGCCTGGTACTGACCAAATTTATGATTGCCACCATGTACTACATCGCCCTGAATTTTAAAGGGGTATTCAGGCAAACCTCGTTAACGAGGGACGAGCTCCCCACAATTATACCCGTTTTAGCAGATATCTCAATGTTAGCTCTGTTGCGCGAGAAGTAAACAAAGCTGGTGCCTGAATGGACCTCTGCAGGTAGCATAACCGATTCTGAGAGCCCCCGACCGTGTTATTACGCCGGGGCTATAACAAATCACAAAACAACGGACTAAGAGCCTCATGAGAGCTTCAGCATCCAACAATTCCGGAGGCGGGAGAGCACATGGCTCAGGAGCATCAAGGTTGGGCTTAACCACAGGGTAGGTATTAATAATTGAGCAGGGCTTGTGTTTAGGGGTCTAAAATGGTTCACCGCAGGTTGGGCTGGAGAGGTCATATCCATACCCTGCTCGCTTATTTGTCCGCATGTCAAGCCGAACACGGGGAATTAAGCCCTCGATTTCACCTGTCAGGCGAGGCCCTTCCCCCTGAGGCAGGAAATAGCTGGACAATAAGTAGAGCGGGCGGGATGGTATGATTTTCATTTGAGCTCCCGAGTCGAGATAATAAACAATAATTGGCAGCACCTGTACCGCAGACGCGCTTACCTTATCCAGGCACGCTCCTCAAAGTCAACAAATCCCGGCCTGGCAAGCAGCCCCCCTCCCCTGTTATCCAAATTTCCCCCCCACCTATTTTGCTGGGTCCATCTCTACTAATTCACCCAACAACGTCCTACTTTCTCCCGTCTTCCTCTCTCGATCACCCCGTGCCCAAGCCTGTTTGGACTCTCTACAGTTTGTGAGCTTGTGTTGCTGCTTCCTGTTTCCTACCAACTTATTTTGTTTCCCATATCCATCCACACAAGTCCCAACCATGCGTGAGGTTATCAGTATCAACGGTTAGTGCTCGGATGCCCACCAACGCGTCCTCACCGCTGTGTCTTTGCTGCGAGGACCCGACCGACTTGATAAAATGTACTGACGAGATGGGATAGTCGGCCAGGCTGGTTGCCAGATTGCCAACTCCTGCTGGGAGGTAAGTCCAGCCATCGGGGGCACCATCCTCCTCATCCCGCGAGAGGAACAATGAATGAAGCTAACCCCTCCATAGCTCTACTGCCTCGAGCACGGCATCCAGGTAAACACCCAACACGCCCATGATGATCCGCGAACTCGGAAAAAAAACTGACACAAGCTCTAGCCCGATGGTTACCTCACTGAGGAGCGCAAGGCTGCCGACCCCGACCAGGGCTTCAGCACTTTCTTCTCCGAGACTGGTACGAAGCTCCAGACGGCTCCCCTTTTCTCTTCTTGGATGGTCGTGACGGATATCTAACCAACTCTTCACCGTTTATAGGTCAGGGCAAGTACGTTCCCCGTGCTATCTACTGCGATCTTGAGCCCAATGTCGTCGACGAGGTCCGCACCGGTGCCTACCGCAACCTTTTCCACCCCGAGATGATGATCACCGGCAAGGAGGATGCCTCCAACAACTATGCTCGTGGACACTACACAGTCGGCAAGGAGCTGATTGATGGCGTCCTCGACAAGATCCGCCGCGTTGCCGACAACTGTGTTGGACTCCAGGGTTTCCTCGTCTTCCACTCCTTCGGTGGTGGTACTGGTTCCGGTTTTGGTGCTCTCCTGATGGAGCGTCTGTCTGTCGACTACGGCAAGAAGAGCAAGCTGGAATTCTGCGTCTACCCTGCCCCCCAGACTGCCACTTCCGTCGTTGAGCCTTATAACTCCATCCTCACCACCCACACCACCCTCGAGCACTCCGACTGCTCCTTCATGGTCGACAACGAGGCCATCTACGACATCTGCCGTCGCAACCTCGGCCTGGAGCGTCCCAACTACGAGAACCTGAACCGCCTGATTGCCCAGGGTAGGATATGACCCCGAAAACTTGCCACTGAGCCTGTCTACGGTTGTGCTGACTATGATATAGTTGTTTCTTCCATCACCGCCTCTCTTCGTTTCGACGGTTCCCTCAATGTCGACTTGAACGAGTTCCAGACCAACTTGGTCCCTTACCCCCGTATCCACTTCCCTCTCGTCGCCTACGCTCCAGTCATCTCTGCTGCCAAGGCTGCTCACGAGGCCAACTCCGTCCAGGAGATGACCATGTCCTGCTTCGAGCCTAACAACCAGATGGTGAAGTGTGACCCCCGCCACGGCAAGTACATGGCCACCTGCCTGCTGTACCGTGGTGATGTTGTGCCAAATGATGCCCACGCTGCCGTTGCCACCCTCAAGACCAAGCGTACCATCCAGTTCGTCGACTGGTGCCCCACTGGTTTCAAGCTTGGTATCTGCTACCAGGCTCCCGAGAACGTCCCCAACGGCGATCTCGCCAAGGTCAACCGTGCTGTGTAAGTTCACCCTCCCCAGAACAGTATTTTTGAGCATAATTTCTGACTCTTTTTTTCTCCAGGTGCATGCTTTCCAACACCACTGCTATTGCCGAGGCTTGGTCATCTCTTTCGACCAAGTTCGATCTTATGCACTCCAAGCGTGCTTTCGTGCACTGGTACGTTGGTGAGGGTATGGAGGAAGGTGAATTCTCCGAGGCCCGTGAGGATCTCGCTGCTCTGGAGCGTGATTACGAGGAGGTTGCCCTCGACTCTCTCGATGCTGAGGAGGTTGAGGAGGCTGAGTATTAGATTGAATCTGTAAGGCGATGAAGTCAAACTTCGGCTCCTTTTAGCCTGAGCTTTCTATTTTAAAACTGTTGGTCAAAGCCATGATTTTGTAGTCTTCTTCCATTCAAGACGCCCCCCCCAATACCTGTCTTAATGATTTCCCTTCTTAAAATACAAACATCTTACAGGCGATCCTGAACCCAAAAAATAATTGACCCCTATGCGTGTATTGTATGCTTTTCCGCAGACCGTAACTTGGTTGTAATGCTAGGTGAGAGCTGAGGCATGGGAAAAGGGACCTAGGCTTCGTTTAACCCCGGATTTCGGTGGCGCTGGCAAAGCCGACGATAGGCGACAAGGGACGACTCCAACTTGCACCCTACATCTAAAACGTCACACCCAATCCGGGCACTTGGCCGACCACCAATTCTTCTCTTCGGACCTGTCTCGAACTCGCTTCACAATGAGTCTCCTCCGCTCGGCAGCCTGCAGAGTCTGCAGAAGCTCAACGATTCGGTTCCGCCGAGGTTTTGCGACAGCTAGCACCCAGCAGCCGAGCCAGTCAGCCCACGACAACCATGTGCGGATTGTCGAGGTCGGGCCTCGCGACGGACTCCAAAACGAGAAAGTCTCCATCCCCCTCCATACCAAGATAGAGCTTATCGAGCGTCTGGCAAAAACCGGTGTTTCAACAATTGAAGCCGGGTCCTTTGTCTCGCCAAAATGGGTTCCCCAGGTAGGTTGCTCCGTCACCCCCCGCCCCGAGCAGCTGTATGCTAACTTCTTGCTTGCCCAGATGGCGAACTCGAGCGAGATCCTGGAACACATCCTCCAGCAGAAGATTGCATCCCCCGTCCCCGTGTCGTACTCCTTCCTGGCGCCCAACATCAAGGGCCTCGAGAACGCAGCTGGCCTGCTGAGGCAGAACCCCGGGGCGTTCGCGACGCAGCTCAGCCCCGCGGCCGAGGGTGACAAGGTCTCGACGCCGGAGATCGAGGTGGCCGTCTTCGCGGCGGCGACGGAGAGCTTCTCCCAGCGGAACCTCAACTGCGACATCCAGACCTCCCTCGAGCGGTTCAAGGCGGTGATCCAGGACTCCAAGGCCATTGGCCTGCGCGTGCGGGCCTACATCTCCGTGGTGCTGGGGTGCCCCTTTGAGGGGTTCGACGTCGACCCGCACAGGGTGGCCGAGATCGCCGCGGACCTGCTCGAGTCGGGCGCGGACGAGATCTCGCTGGGCGACACGACGGGCATGGGCACGGCGCCGCGGACGAGCAACCTGCTCAAGTGCCTGGCGGCGGCGGGGATCCGGACCGAGGACACGGCCATGCACTTCCACGACACGTACGGGCAGGCGCTTGTCAACACGGCCGTGTCGCTGGAGCACGGGATCCGGACGTTTGATAGTAGTGTGGGCGGGCTGGGCGGGTGTCCGTACAGCCCCGGGGCGACGGGCAACGTTGCCACGGAGAATATGGTGTACTTCCTGGAGACGCTGGGGATGAGCACGGGCGTGGACTTGGATGCGATGGCAGATATTGGCTCTTGGATTTCTGGGGAGCTGGGTAGGCAAAACGATAGCAGTGTGGGCAAGGCTGTATTAGGTGCACGAGCAAGGGAACAGGCCGAGGCTACGAAGGGGGCGTGAGATATCCTGTAATTCAAAATGCGGACATGTATTTTTCGGCTGAAGTGAGCAGTCTTATCAATATCATAGCAGCTTTGAGGTTAAGCAAGCTCCTATGTCTAATATGGCGGATTTTGTTGGTGTTGTAGTACCATCTCCAGCTACACGAACGCACCGGAAGTGGATTTTGACCAGGTTCCAGATTCTCATAGCTTATCCAGTCTCTTCTTTTTCTGGCACTGATTTTTATTAATTTATAGAGCCAGATATTGAGCTGAGGTTGGGCCTTGAAATGCTGGTATAGCGTAGTCTGGAGCTCCAGTCATGTGATGTCACAGCTCTAGAAGGTCAAGCAATTGGGCTCCACTATTGCTGCACCTGCCTCACCTCAACATCTCCGTTGATCTCCAATCCTCAGCTGTGAGGCCTCGTCGCTCTACCTCAGGCCAACCAACCTATCCATCGCCGCGCCGTCCCCCACCCTCCTCCATCCTCGTCGAGAGCCTCGAATCAGCGCTCAACCCCCTTCAATACCCTCGATTCGCTTCCTGGACGAATTTGACTCGCACTAAGGACAGCTAGCCACCATGTCGGACCCCCGTGAGTCGTCGTCATACTCGGTCGTGCCGAGGCTTCGGTACAACACTGTTGGCGGTATCAACGGCCCTCTGGTTATTCTTGAGAATGTATGCATTGGATAGGGCGGGAGAGAAGGGCGGGAAGGGGAAACCCCTCTTCCGTCATGAAGTCTGGGATGCGCGCTGACGTACTGGGTCTCTAGGTCAAAAATCCCAAGTACAACGAGATTGTTACCCTTACTCTGGGCGATGGCACACAACGATCCGGTCAGGTTCTGGAGGCTCGAGGTATGGGAACCCGCGCAATTCTCTAATATAAGGTGCTAATCAGAGCTTTGTGATAGGTGACCGAGCTGTTGTCCAGGTATTACGCGATCCTGCTTAATTGGTGGCTGGGACGACCACTGACTGGCTGATTCTTAGGTCTTCGAAGGAACTTCTGGTATCGATGTGAAGAAGGTATAGTGGTGATGCTTCCGCGATTGCTGGGTTGTCTGCTAATGCGTATTTCCCCGCCAGACCAATGTCGAGTTCACAGGCCAGAGCTTGAAGCTCGGTGTCTCAGAGGACATGCTTGGCCGAGTCTTCGATGGATCCGGTCGAGCCATGGACAAGGGCCCCAAGGTCTTGGCTGAGGATTACATTGACATCAACGGAAGTCCTATTAACCCATTCTCCCGAGTAAGTTGACGGATTGTTGGCAGCACGGATGGGGAGCATATGCGCTGACTGGACCCGAACTAGGAATACCCCGAGGAGATGATTTCGACTGGTATCTCCGCCATTGACACCATGAACTCAATTGCTCGTGGTCAGAAGATCCCCATTTTCTCCTCAGCTGGTCTGCCTCACAACGAAATTGCCGCCCAGATTTGTCGACAGGCAGGTCTTGTCAAGAAGCAGGGTGTCACCAACAAGGGTGTTCATGATGGCCACGAGGACAACTTCTCCATCGTCTTCGGTGCCATGGGTGTCAACTTGGAAACCGCTCGTTTCTTCACCAACGATTTCAAGCAGAACGGCAGTCTGGAGCGTACCACACTGTTTGTTAACATTGCTAGCGATCCTACGTACATTTCTCCCTCCTCTGATTGGAACTAGTTGCGGTTATGCTAACGGCCCTGTACAGTATCGAACGTATCATTACACCTCGTCTTGCCCTGACGACGGCTGAATACTACGCCTACCAGCTCGAGAAGCACGTCCTGGTCATTCTTACCGACTTGTCTTCTTACTGCGATGCCCTCCGTGAAGTCTCGGCGGCCCGTGAAGAAGTCCCAGGTCGACGTGGTTACCCCGGTTACATGTACACTGATTTGTCGACCATCTACGAGCGTGCTGGACGTGTGACTGGCCGCAATGGCTCCATCACCCAGATCCCCATTCTGACCATGCCCAACGAGGATATTACTCACCCTATTCCCGATCTTACTGGTTATATTACCGAGGGACAGATCTTCGTCGACCGTCCCATGTACAACCGTGGTATCTACCCTCCCATCAACGTGCTTCCATCGCTGTCGCGTTTGATGAAGTCTGCCATTGGTGAGGGTATGACCCGTCGTGACCACGGTGATGTTTCCAACCAGCTGTACGCCAAGTACGCCATCGGTCGTGATGCCGCTGCCATGAAGGCTGTGGTGGGTGAGGAAGCTCTGTCAAACGAAGATAAGCTCTCTCTCGAATTCTTGGATAAGTTCGAGCGTCAATTCATCAGCCAGGGTGCCTACGAATCTCGCAGCATTTTCGAGTCCCTTGATTTGGCATGGAGCCTCCTCCGTATCTACCCCAAGGAGCTTCTCAACCGTATCCCCGCCAAGGTCCTCAACGAGTACTACCAGCGTGCCCAGAAGGAGGCCAAGTCAAAGGGAAAGCAGAAGGCTGCCGCTGACGCTACAAGCCAGCAGCAGGCCGAGGGAAACCTGGTTGAAGTGTAAATGAAAGACATACACGCTCACTGAAGGAGATGGGAGAGAGAGCATTGGGGGGGGGATTGATAATAGATAGATGGAGCTCGCACACTTTGGAGCATTGTTTTTGTTTTTGGCAGACCGTCCAATCGAGTCCTCGTGTTTGTATACGTTCTGTAGGCTGCGTGAAGCGGGAGGTTATGATCATCCATTTGCAAGGTTCACAGTTCAATGCCATGGCAGTATTCTTCCATTCGCGGGTCCCATGCTGTCAATATTGCGATGGTCAATTCTGTTTCTTAACTGGAAAATGACGCCTTTCACGGGGCGGGGGGCCTTGTTGTTTTCTTCCTCTTTTCTTACCAGGTGCCAGGCTACCAACAGGCTATTGTCGGCTGTGTCTACATACGCATATATGGCTGGGATGCCTCGTGCATCTTGGGATGGGAGTGGACTGATGACGGAGTGGAGTCTGCGCTTTCGGCCCTTTTTTCCCCTTCCTCTTCCTCGAGGGGAGCTTCAGCTGACTGGTTTTTGACTGCTATTGACGGGCAAGCAAGGCAAGGTAGAGAGTGAGGGAGTCCATGTGTAATGCCGGCAGGGATGTTGCCCGTGAAATGATGTATGGATGGGATGCGGCCCTGATTTGATGGGGGCGGGCACCATCCCCGCATCTGTCCCCGAGCAACGGACAGGGAGCAGGCGGGGGAGGGAACTGAGAAAGTACCGAAGGAAGGGCGCCGACTAATTGCTTCGAGGGATGCGCACCAATCGGTCAATTAACTCATCATCTCACCCGCTTTTTTCTCCCATCGCAAATACCACGGCTAGGGATGGGGAAAGGGCGAGGTGAGGGGCAAGTCGTGCAAGAGGGCGATCGATATGCCTCGTGGCTTTGCTTTGGTCTAATGCATGTAAGTTGGTCCATGTCTGATGAATGCCACAGTACCAGTGAGACATGAGGTAGCATGGCAGCAGCGGCGCTGGGCACACACACACACCGATGGTCTCCCTTCGGGGCAGATCCCAGTGATGGTTACATACATGACCTATGTTGGCCCGGGGCCCTGGGCTTGACATCATAGCAGCACCAATGGCAACCTCGCGGGTCTCCATAGACACGGCGCGCCAGGCTATTCCCACGAGACACGCTCCAGTCATCGTCGCATTCTCCCAGAATTCTAACGCATAGACGCACCACTCGCGGTTAAGATCGCCATTCCCTTCCGGGAAGGACGAACACACTGCTTCCGCGGGGAAAAGCTCTGACCCTACGAGGGTCGCGGGGAAGCCTGGTGGAGGAGGAGGAGGAGGAGCTGGGGCGAACTTTTGTTTTTCTTGTTGCTCTCCTCGAGCTCGTTGCGGCCTGCCCTCGCGGAATTGGCTTGCCGACCTGCTGGGGGTCGCTGTTGTATATAAAGGGCTTGCCTCCCTTGAACTCCCCCGTTTGGCCTGCCTGCCGGACCCCATTGCTTCTCCATCCTCTGGGAACACAAGCCATTGGTTCATCAGAAAGCTATCTCGTGCCATTGGACACTGATTGAACGCAAGAATGAAGTGGAGCAACCACATCATCGGCCTCTTGCTGCCAGCATTGGGCGTCGCTGCTCAGAATAGCACCAAGCCCGTGGCAGACAAGAACGGCAAATACTGGATCTCGAGCGGCAGCCTCAAGGCCGGCTTCGTCCCCTACGGAGCTGCCATCTCGGACCTGTACATCAACGACAAGTACGGAGTCCAGAGGGATCTCATCGCCGGGTGGGAGAATGCCAGCTATTACGGCATCGACGGCCAGCACCCAAACTACGGCAACGTCCCCGGGCGGTACGCGAACCGCATCAAGAACAGCACGTTCGAGATTGACGGCGAGACGTACCACATCACCCCCAACGAGCACCCCACCGAGGAGCACCCGGACGGCATCAACTCGCTGCACGGCGGCAAGGACGGCTGGGGCTGGCGCAACTTCACCGTCGTCGCCCACACGGACACGAGCATCACCTTCTCCATCGTCGACCCGGACGGCAAGGAAGGCTTTCCCGGAGAGGTCATCTCCTACGTGACGTACACCCTGGAAGGCTTCGACTGGCACATCAGCATGGTGGCCGTCCCGACGACCAAGGCCACGCCCATCATGCTCAGCAGCCACACGTACTGGAACCTCGACGGCTTCGCCAACAACGAGACCCAGTCGGCGCTCAACCACACCCTGCACCTGCCCTACAGCGGCCAGCGCGTCGCCGTGGACAACATCCTGATCCCGACGGGCGAGATCCAGGCCAATGCCAAGGGCTCCGTCAACGACTTCTGGAGCGCCCCTAAGCAGCTCGGCGCATCATTCAGCGATCCCGAGATTGTGAACAACTGCGGTCTCAACTGTACTGGCTATGGTAAGTTTCCCCAAACCAGATCATGACTGGATCAAACATGTGATTAACACGCTACTTCTCCTAGACAACTGCTGGACGGTGAACCGACAATCGCTCGGCAACTACGACTGGCGCACGCACAGCCCCGTCGCGACCATCTCGTCGGCGTGGTCGGGCATCAAGCTCGACATCTACACGGACCAGGACGCCTTCCAGGTGTACAGCTGCAACGGGCAGAACGGCACCCTCACCCTCAAGGAGTCGCAGGGCCTCACCGACAACGCCGACTTCCCCCGCACCATCCCCAAGTACGGGTGCGTGGTGCTTGAGGTGCAGGATTACATTGACGGCATCAACCACCCGGAGTGGCACCGCGAGCCGAAGCAGATCTTCCGCCCCGGCGGCGATCCGTATGTGCTGCAGGCGAGATACCACTTCAGCGTGGGTGAGGAGAAGGATTAGAATACAGAGTATTGCGAGGGCGGGATCATAATGATGTGTTTTATTCGTTAGATAGTCAAATTCGTAATGTGTCTATACACGCCCAGAGAATTGAGCTGTTTCAGAAAATTGTTCTGGTTGGCAATTAGAATTGGTGATGCTGAAAAGTGATGCGAATGCCGCCGGGATTGGAGGATTTATTAAATGATGGTGGATGGAGGGGTTCATTGGGAGAAAAAACCATGGTGGGGTGGTACAAGCTGGACAGTAGATAAATGTATGTAGCGACATGTACCCCCCACCGTCAGCGGCCAAACTCATCAGTCATGCCTGAATATTTTGCACATCCCACCTAGAACAGCACATCTGAAGACAAGCCTTTCTCTTGGAAATAGACCATTTTGACTTATATATTGAACTCATAGACTCACTTCCAGTGACTCATCTAAGATGGAGGAGGACAGAGCCCAGACAGACTTGGGCATCGCTGCGGATATCGAGGAAGCGCAGCGATATGAGAGCGAACAAATACTCACATCAGCGCCAGAGACTGTAGAGACGGCTGCACCGCCTCAGACATCAGAACAGACCCCTATCAGACAGCCCAAGAAGAGATTTGTTGGGCGCAGAGCAGCCGATGCCGCTGCCGCAAAGAATGGAAGCACCGCTTCATCCGGAGAGGCGAGTGGTGCTGTGCAACGTGCGTCTCCATCATACTCACGTCTTTCATCGTGCCTTTCATAAGAAACTCATCTGACACTATCTTGAACATCTAGCTGCCAAGCCCAGGAGAGCACCTCGTCTCTTGAATCAAGTTCCTAAGAAGATCCTGGAGGACCCAAACCTAAAGGCTGCCGTTGGTCTCCTACCATCAAATTACAGCTTCGAGATCCCCAAGACTATCCATCGTATCCGGACCTCAGGGGCCAAGAAGGTCGCCCTCCAGATGCCTGAAGGATTACTCCTCTTTGCCACAACCATCTCAGATATCCTCATGCAGTTTTGCCCAGGCATCGAGACACTTATCATGGGCGATGTGACCTACGGCGCCTGCTGCATCGACGACTACACAGCGAGGGCGCTCGGATGCGACCTCCTCGTCCACTACGCCCACAGCTGCCTCATCCCCGTCGACGTGACAAAGATCAAGACTCTCTACGTCTTCGTCGACATCAGCATCGACGTCACCCACCTCCTTGCCTCTCTCGAGCGCAACTTCCCCACAGGCAAGACCATTGCCGTGGTCGGCACCATCCAGTTCAACGCCACCATCCACGGTGTCAAGAACGCTCTGGAGAAGGCGGGCTTCCGCATCCTCGTACCCCAGATCGCCCCCCTCAGCAAGGGCGAGATCCTCGGGTGCACCTCTCCACGCCTCAAGGACGACGACGCCGTCGACCTCATCCTGTACCTCGGCGACGGCCGCTTCCACCTCGAGAGCATCATGATCCACAACCCCTCCATCCCCGCGTACCGCTACGACCCTTACTCCCGCAAGCTCACCCGCGAGACGTACGAGCACGACGAGATGCAGACGATACGCCGCTCCGCCATCACCACGGCCAAGAAGGCCAAGAAGTGGGGGCTCATCCTCGGCTCGCTCGGCCGCCAGGGTAACCCGCACACCATGGCCCTGATCGAGAAGAAGTTGACGGAGAGGGGCATTCCTTGGGTCAACCTCCTCCTGAGTGAGATCTTCCCTGGAAAGTTGGCCCTCATGAGCGACGTTGAGTGCTGGGTCCAGGTTGCATGTCCACGTCTCAGCATCGACTGGGGCTATGCGTTTCCCCGACCTCTTCTGACCCCCTACGAGGCCCTTGTCACGTTGGAGGTGAAGGAGGATTGGGGCCAGAAGGCCTACCCGATGGATTATTACGGAAGGGAGGGTCTTGGGAGAACGAGGCCACCCATTGACGTAGGGGGAAAGTAAACATAAAATTTAAAGGCTACCGATTTGAGATTCGTCTGAGTTCTGAACCTGAGTGAGGTATTGAATTATGCGTGATGTTGCCTTGACAAATCATTATCCTTCGCTTAAAAGATTATCTGAATCTCTCATCTCCGTGACATGTGCCGCCCAATGCCTTTACCGTACCGTACCTAGACTGGTCATTCGGCTCTAAATCGGTGCTTCCCTAGTCCAAGTTGGTAAAGCTTTCATCGATATTGAAGTCTTTGCTCCCTTGCTCATGTTGGACTTCCCCTTGAAGGCCGCTCAATTGAGGCATGTAAGGGGAACGATACCGGCTAGTCTAGCGAGTAGCTTGCAACGTGGACGTGCATTGCTTGAGAGCCTGCTGCTAGTCTAGATGATGTGCTCATGGCTGCAGCTTCCAGGGATTTCGTATGCTGAACCTCAGTGATCTTCAGTGTTGACTTCGATAGGCATTGTAGCAGATAGGTTTGCCCGTTTCCAGTTGGTACACTATGTCCGCAGTATGGTGATCTATGGCATGATTATTGGATGCGTGGAAGAGCAGGAAGCAGTTGGAGATATAGAGCCACGCCAAAGGGCTGAACCAACGCTTCAAGCTGGTGCGTGGGCAGTTCCAACTGGTTCAGGCCGCTGGGAGAAGACAAGCTTATACTTGACAATCTCCACGACCTCGAGGTTCTCGCCCTCCTCGGCGTGCGTCCCTCCCGAGCCCTCCTTGGAACGGTTCTCCCGGCGGCGGACAACGGCTATCGCCTTTGGGAGCTTCTTCACCTGGCCATGAAGGCGTTGGTGCTGCCCGATGAACAGATGCACCCGATTCATCCAATCTGTGCCCTCCTCCCCGGGCACGTAATCTGGGAACTCGACGCTTCCGAGTTGGAACCCACTGAGAGGCTCGCCTTTGGCATCGCGAGGAAGGTTGATGGTTCCTTGCAGTTCAAGGATGGCCAAGCCCGAAGGGGTTTGGAGTAGAGTTGGCAGTGGACTTGAGGTTGGTGTATCCCGCTTTGTAGGCGGGTATAATTTTGTCGAGGCCATGACTTTTTCCCCTTTTAGAAGTGAAATAATATGTCAGGTCAAATTGTAGAAATTTAATCTGGAAGCTTATGTTTGCATATCAATATCAATACCAGGTCAAACCACGCGTTGACGCTGGTAGCTTTCCGCCATTGTTTGGGTACTACTCACAAATAAAGATGTGGCTTGTCGTGTGGCTCAGTAGGTGGAGCACAACAGGCATGAGGCTTGAACAACACGCCTTACCTACCTAGGTAATAATTGATTGAGGGGAAAATTAACGGAACGGGAAAGCCTTTCACCGTAATTTTTTTTTGGAGCTTCCGTTTGATTGGCCACACATTCTGCCACCGGCGGGTAGCCCTAGCACCACACACTTTCTATCATTTCGCCCAAATTTTGTAACCTCCATCCATCCCGCAAATCTACAACAACTTTCACAGCCAGGTCAAGTACACTTGCACCACCACAACTGGCAAGATGAAGGTAAGTCGACACCACCTATTCAAGGAATGCATCTGGGAACATGGAGACGGAGTTCGCTATCAATCAAACATTCGAATTGGGAGCTTCCCGGCGCCACGATGTCAACGCGAACTTTTGTCGACATGCCAGATTTCCTGCATCATATGCATCCACGATCCTCAATACTAACAATCAATCCAGTTGAACGTCTCCTACCCTGCCAATGGCAGCCAGAAGCTCTTCGAGATCGAGGATGAGCGCAAGACCGCCATCTTCACTGAGAAGCGCGTACGTCCGATCCCTCACACGACCCGACAACGAGAAAAAAAAGGATATCAGACTAACATAATGGAATTCAGATGGGCGCTGAGGTCCCCGGCGACTCCGTCGGCGACGAGTTCAAGGGCTACATCTTCCGCATCACCGGCGGAAACGACAAGCAGGGCTTCCCCATGAAGCAGGGTGTCCTCCACCCTAACCGTGTCCGCCTCCTCCTCTCCGACGGCCACTCCTGCTACCGCCCCCGCCGCACCGGCGAGCGCAAGAGAAAGTCCGTCCACGGCTGCATCGTCGGCAACGACATGTCCGTCATCGCCCTCTCCATCGTCAAGAAGGGCGACGACGAGATCCCCGGCCTCACCGACGTCGTCCACCCCAAGCGCCTCGGCCCCAAGCGCGCCACCAAGATCCGCAAGTTCTTCGGCCTCACCAAGGATGACGATGTATGTCTTTCCCCGCTGCCATACTCGATCATCGCCTACTCGGGGCTTCAGCCACGCCAGTGGCAGTCCCAGTAGAGAGTGAGAGGGTCCCGTCCCTACGAAAGGGGGACGGGAGGCGACAATCCAAAACTAATTTAGAGATGATGAAAACTAATGAGCCACCCACGAAAAATAGGTTCGCAAGTACGTCATTCGCCGCGAGGTCCAGCCCAAGGGCGAGGGCAAGCAGGCCTACACCAAGGCTCCCAAGATCCAGCGTCTTGTGACTCCCCAGCGTCTCCAGCACAAGCGCCACCGCGCCGCTCTCAAGAGACGCCAGGCCGAGAAGGTCAAGGATGAGGCCGTACGTTTCCACTTTCTTCTTCCGTTGCCAATGCCTTGGGTCCTGTTCACAGCTAACATCCTTCCTATAGAACGAGTACGCTCAGGTCCTCGCCAAGCGTGTTGCTGAGGCCAAGGCCAACAAGGCCGATGCTCGCAAGCGTCGTGCCAGCTCTATTCGCAAGTAAAGGTCGGGCGTTTTTAGTGAAAAATAAAAAGGGGCAATTTATACCCACGTCTTCCAATTTTGCGTGCGTTGGGAGTGAGGAATATCATGAGCTCACGTTTGGGCTAGCGCTGGCTGTATTTGGCATTCTGGGAAAATCCAATCAATTCTTAATGCCGTCTGCGTATCTGCTCTGTGTATCATCATGCTCCGTAGTTGTTATAAAAGTATACCTACCAGTGAAATGACCCTATCGTAGTCTATGCATCTTGTATGCAGCTAGATGAGGTCTGTTCGGGTGGCAAGTACAGTCACTTACTTCATGGCGCAATATGGGACGATCAAGTAATCCTTAACACTCTGAATTATTGCCAATACGGCACAACACTATGCTAGCTACTTTACAATGTCCTCCCTCTCCCTAAGTTTGTTAGGTATGCAGCTCTTGCTACTACCTTTAATTAGCCCCCAAGAAGCAGTCAAGACCTGCACTTCCCTCCTGCTTCTACATATGGAAACCAATGGCGGCAAACCCTTTTCTCTCATTCGGCCTGACAGATATCTTTTCCATCGAGGCATTACTGTAGCTCTGCAAAGTGGCGAATTGAGTATCTATGCGAAACCAAAATATTCGCTTCCAGCGGTAATGGCCTTCATCAATTGTGATCGTAAAGCATCGTAGCTTTCGTACTCGGGGATATCGAGCTCTAGAAAATAGTCGAGTTAATAATTTGAAGATGGAAACGTAGACATGTAGGGGAAAAGTTTGTAACAACGTACGGTTAAAGCAGGTATGAGAGGTGGGGAGCCGGTCCTTGTTGCCATAGTCTCTATGGATGTTGAATCGATTGACACCATTCATGCCTTCTAACTCCTTGAAACCATTCAGAGGAACCTTGCTGGTTCCAGTAACAAATTGGAGTAATTTGGCTCTCTCTTCCTTGTCAAAGGAGCGAACAGCTCTCCAGAACCACTGGATCTGAGGGGAAGAGGGATTGTAATTTTGATACTCTGTGTTGCTCTTCCAGTCGTCAACATCGATGTCAGGAAGTCCAGAAATGAGGAGTTCGAGTTCCTGTTCATTGAAAATCGAAATGAGCTCTTCGGGAATGATATCATGGAATCCTAAGAAAAAGATTAGACTCAACGACTTTGTAATTATAGAGAGGAAGCAATGGACTTACCCTTCAAAAAGTGTTCCATCTGGTCCTTAACTGATGAAAGAAGTTTGTGTTCAACTACGAGGCGGACATAGTCCTGCTTGTTTTCATCCGTCACAGGTATTTCCCGCCCATTGGGGATAAGATCCACCACTTTAGTGACACCAAACTCATCGTCCTCCACTGAGAAGGTCTCAGTAATAATGTCGGTGATGTCGTTCTCCAGCATCCAGCAAAGTGATTTGTAGTAGTCTGGGTCGAATGACTCCATATCCTTTACTGAAACAGATTTGCCAAGAATGCGCTTGTAGACAGCGCGACTGAAGTAACAATCCAGAACCCGGCCTTCATAGAGGGCCTTTCCAATGATACGGCCAATGAACTTGAAGAACATCAAGTGTTCGTCATTGATGCCACTGAGTTTGTTTGGATGGAACGTGGTTCGATCTGATGACACTGGGATGAAGAGAGCATAATTGGCATCGAACATCTGTCGGGCCAGAACCTGGAACCACTCTCGTGTAACGCCACCAGCGTCAACTCCCTCTTCTCCGTGGAAACGGATATTGAGTTTCCCGAACTTCATCTCATCTCCGGATTTGAAGTAAAGTGATTTGAACGAATCGTGGAAGACTTGGTCGCGACGGACTGATAAGTTCAAGGTGGGGAAAGAAGGCCGGCCGTGGTGAGGTTGGCCCGAACGGGAATGCACGCTTCGATTGAAGTAGTTTCTCTTGTTGTCAAATTCCAGGACTTTCGGGTTCTTAACCAAAAGAGCAAAGGTGCCAGACATGAGCTTGGGATTATTTCTGACCAACTCGTTCAAAATGCGACGATGGTCCTCAGTGAACGAAAAGAACAGACTGGCGGTACGTGATTCAGGAGGGGGGCTAGATAGCACCATCTCCTTGCTCAACTGAGCCTGAGAAGGATCATCTTGAGTAGTCGTGTTCTTGCAAACAACCATGAGAGATTCGATGAGTGGCAGCAAAATGGTAGCGACGTTGAACATGTTCTCTCGCTCGTGTATAGCTGTCAAGCATGCACCAAGCTTGTCCCACATGGCAGAGAAGGTTGAGTTGTGGTAGAGAGATGTGACCAGGTCTTGCTTTTCACTGTCTGGTTTGTCATTTTCACCACCATTAGATTTCTTCTTGCCGTCGAACAAATGATCGAGAGCCGTCAAGACTCTGAGCAATTTATTTTGTTCAGATGCTCCAGGGGAGAATTTCGACAGCGCGACACCTTGAATCTCAGTTCCCGATGTTGCTTTTTCGATATGCGGGAGTAGCTCATCAAGGTCGGTCACAATGTTCTCGCTAAGAAGCCTAGCCTGACGGACCAATTCTTGGCCGAAGACAGACCTTGCTCCTGGCACAGTTGAGAGATTCTTGATTGTGTTGATCGTGTTCTGGAAAGTTTTGGAGCTGCATTCCCTTGCCACAAATACTCTGATTACAAGGGTAAGATTTTGTGGAGGGATCACAGGAGGCTGAATCTGGCGAGCTTTCTTTCGAGAATCATCTTTCTGGCTTGTCTTTGCATCATCTCCTGCTGATGGGCCACCTTCTGTGGTTGTTGGTTGGTTGGGGGCTGCAGGCTCCCCGCTGGCCTGTCCAGCCGCGGCGGAAGGTTCATTTGGTTCATTTGGCTCCTGGTCTGCTTGGGCGTCGGCGGACTTAGGCGCAGACTCCTCTTCCACTTCTTCCTCTGCTTCCCTTCGACGGCGATCCAAGGCTAATAGGGGAATTGTGACGCGATTCAGTAGATCCGCTAGATGGGTCATCACGACCGAGCTCTCCATGACCAGATCCCGGTCGAGCAGAGTGAGCAACGAGTTAATGGCGTACTTGTGAGCCTTGGTGTCCTTTGATTTGCCTTTACGGCCAAGGGTCTTCCTCAGAGTTGACCCAACCGTCTCATGCTCGGTTAAGAAGAGCCAAGGAATCCCGGGGTTTCGTGTACATAGATCAACAAGAAGATCCAAACATTGCTGAACAATAAGCAGTGGCGATGTTTCGGAATTTGTTTGACTTGTGATGGTAGAATTCAAAGCCGTCAAACTCTTCTTGAGACTTTGGGGAGTTTTCTGCTCAAGATCTTTTTCTCTGTTGTGTCTCCTGGCCTTGAGTGACAGATGACTGAAGCTTCGGTCGACAGCGCTCATGTCCGTGCTACCTTCCTGGAGGATCTGAAGAATTGTGCTGATTACCTCCAGCCTATTTTGTCGGTTCTCACAAACATCGGCGAACACGCTAAAAAGATAGTTGCGGATAGATCCCTGCTGGGCAATGAACATTAGCCGCACAAGTGTAGCTACTCCGGCCTTATCCAGCATTTGAACAACGGTACGACGCTGTGGCTTGCTTTCTGTCGCTGCAGGGGGCGGAGGTTGCTGTCCGGTCCTGGTGATTGCGACAGGTCGATGCCCTGGGATGGGGTGTGGCACCGCGTTGCTCCGCTGTAGTCTTCGGGCTTGTTCAGCCATCTCAGGAGGGAGATGTTCCATGATTTCACTGCCCTGCTCCAGAAGGACCTGGTCTCGAAGCTCCTGAGGGAAGGTAAGTAAGATGCTTGCTGTATCCATGTCACCGGAAACGATTTCGGGTCCACCAGATGAGACAGCCGGGCGGGAGTTTCCATTATCTCGACGCCGTTGCTCTTGAGCCTCTTGTTGTTCGATTTCGCGTCGAAGTTGGACTGGGAGAGCATCAAGGAACTCTTGGAATGCCACGGTAGATTCTCCAGCCGGTGCTTCTGCTCGAGCTTCTGATCGTCTGGCAGAAACGGCTTGAGCAATCACTTCTTCCCTGAACTCTTCTGGCAGGGCTGCCAGATAATCAGGGTCAATTCCCAAGTCTGTTACGTCAATTTCCTGATCTCCGAGCATAGCCATAACACGGGGTTGGTCCGATGGGACAGAGGTGTTGGAAGGGCCTGCGTCGTTGGCCTCGGCTTCTTCGATTCCTTCCATCGCGCTGCCGCTATCGGGTGCTGGGCCGGACTCTTGGCTGGCTTGCGAGTCGTTGTGTGCCGCAGCTTCTGACGCAGCACGCGCGGCGGCTTCTCGCTCTTCTGCTTCTAGCTTTTCTCGTGCAGCCTTTTCCTCGGCCTCCTTTTCTTCCTTAATGCGACGCTCTTCTTCTTCTCGCTTGAGCCTCTCCTCCTCTGCACGCTTCTTTCTTTCAGCCTCTTCGGCTATGCGCTTCTTCTCTGCCTCCACAGCGGCAGGTGTAAGAATGGCCGAGATCATGTTGCTCAATTTCGCTGCTTCGGCTACCAAGGTCCCACCAAAGAGCATCCTTGCCTCCTCTTCATATCTATCCAGCGTATTTTGGGCAGTAAAGGAAACTGCTTGCCAAGGCTCTTGCACCACATTTTCTCGGCGTTGTTCGATACGAGTAGCTCGCAGTCCCAATTCTCGGGCGTCACGCGTTCCACTAGGGCCTGTTATGTGGAAGTGGAAGGCTTGGCCATTGCGTCCCATTACTGGCAGAATGTCCATCAATTCACCGAGGAATCCCATAGGTCCATCTGCTCCATGGCGGCCCATACCACCGAGTAGCCCCTCTGGCAATCTCACACCAATAGAGTGGCTGTGTGATGCTCGCCCAGCACTCTCAGGTCCTTGGTCGATACGTCGCAGAAGTGGATTCACCCCATCTTCAGCATTATTCTGCGAGCCAGTTGACCGATGGTGTCGAGAGAAGAAGCTGCGGAAGTCTCCGAGGGGGTCTCCAGGAGAACCGGCCACAAATCCTGGGCCAATGGGAAAAGGACTACGATTGTCCATTCTAGCTAGAATCCGGCGTCGGTTGCCTCCGTTGTTGTCCAGCAAAACGAGACGGTTTCTATCAGATTCGGCGTTGAGAGTATCCCACCCAAGAGCTGGCATGGGAGGTGGTTGTTCATCCACTATCATTGGTCAGCTAAGTCAGTCTCGGACAGGGCTTTGTTGATAGGGAATACATACAAGGAAACCCGTCATCATAGATGAAAGCCTCGTCGTCAACATCTTCCTCGTCTTCTTCTTCATCTGTTCCTGTTAGCTGATAGTCCTGGCAGGTTCGGGAAATCATTTGCATACCATCATCATCATGTCCACTCTCAAGATAGTGTTCATCCATCAACTCAGGTTCATACTCCTCTCCTTCGATCAGGGCCCGGGCCATGTTGCCCAGCAGGTCGGCTGGAGGTGCTATGTTGTGAATGTGAGCTTCGTCCATGTCTTGGCCTGCGGCTTCGTAATCCAAGTCGTCAGCCTCGATGTCGCCGTCCTCGTCTTCTTCATCCTCGACATCGTCATCGCTCTCCCAGTCAGAAGCCCCATCGTCTTCCATAGGGTTGCCTTGTTCGTCAACAATCTCCACCCGTGACTCGACACTTTCCATATCGGCGGAGTCCAAATCATCATCGTCCTCACTATCATCGTCATCATCTTCCTCATCTTCATCTCCATCCATGATGACCTCGACAACTTCAGGGTCACCTGGGAGCCCCTCGATCTCTCCCATCTCACTGTCTTCGCTAATATTGTCCTGGTCATCGTCCGAGATATCTTCGTCATCGTAATCCATCTCGTCATCGTACTCGTCACCATACATATCTTCGCCATCTTCATCTTCTTCTTCCGATTCATCCACATCTCTCCCAGGCTCGAGCATACCAAGGGAAGAGTTGCGATAAAGGTCGGGGGTTTCTTCTCGGTCGTCCTCCAAGTCGGAGAGAGACGAAGTAGACCCAAACTCATCATCGCCACTATCTGCGACAGAGCCCGACGGTAACAGATTGGTGTGGCTTAGTTCTTTAGCCGTGTCCGTCAGAACACGAAGAACACGGAGGATATACTTAATCGACCGCTTTACACCAGGGTAGTTCAGGCTAATCTCGGCAATAGATGCCGTGAGTTTTTCCAAGTAGCCCTTCTCGTACATCAGCCGACGCAGCTGGGCTTGAGACCTCACTTGGTTAGGATCACTGTTTCGAGACCCAGTGTGTTCTCGATCTCTCTCCCCAACCATCTGGTTCATCAGCTCAGCCAGGCTCTGCATCCGAGAATAACGGGTTTCAAGCGATTCTTCAGAGTTCGGTGCTCTCTCGTAGGCCTTCAATATTGTGTCAAGTACAAACTTGCGGACAAACTGAAGATCAGGTTCGTCGTCATATGCAAATTTGGGTAGGTCACGATCAACCGGTTTCTCCCTAGTTTTCCCAACAAGTGCAACCAGGAGTTTCTGAGTGTGTACAGCAGTCGCAGACTTTTTCTTGTATGCGATAGAATCGACCGGGCCGTTGAGGCTACTCTGACAGAGCAGATCATAAATCAGATAGTTGAGGACACTCGAACGAGGCTTCACTGGTGTACTAGTTGGTAGGGGAGGTGCGTTACGCTTAAAGTTGATAAACTCAACTTTGGTCCTGTTGTAGCTCTGGAGGAGCTCTGTCAAGCAGTTGAGCAGGAAACCTCGATAGACGAAAATCTGATGCTCCTCGGATTTGAAGAGAGGGCGAGCCGTCTTCTTGTCCTTGACATCAGATGTAGTACCTTCCGGGGTAGCGGTGTCTGTGCTAGCTTGATCCGAGACCTCCTCTTCGGTCTTTGCCTCACCTCCTAGAGGGGCTAACCCCTTATCATCGACATCCCGGTAGTTGATCAACTCACTGAGTAAGAAGTGGATGACACCATCTGAGTTCTCGACAACAGGTCGCTTGCTCTCGTGGTGGGACCTAGGGGCATCGATCATGTCCTTATCGGCAGGTTCAGTAGACTCTTTCACATCCGACTCCTCCGGCGCACTGGCGCTTGCTTGCTCCCTGCTTGTGTTGGATCTGCTGTCCGATTTCAGGCAAAGGGTCGCTTGCCGGCCATGCTCTGACGCAGGGCTCCACTTGTAGAATTCAACCAACTCGTTTGTAACTTCCACGAATAGGCTGGGGGCACGAAGTGCTAGAGGCGCCATGTGTCGGAGATATGCCGAAATATCAGGTTGCCCACGCTGACTCCTTGTGATGTTCGTAAAATCATTCTTGATCTCCGCGCGGATGATCTGCTTGACGAGATCCTCGTCCTCTACGACATGGCGCAGTATAGTCATGACGTATGAATTAGACTTGCTGTGCTTCATGCGTTCAGCACCCGTAGCAGCGAGCTGTTTCGCCATAAGGAACAGTCGTTGCATGTTTCGCTTTTCACCGACCTGTCGAGCAAGAACCCGATTGCGGGTTAAAATGACGAGCACCCTAAGAACCGAGGTGACAAGAACCTCTTCCTTGCCAACACGAGGAACGAGATCCAGTGCGAAGTCGAGGAGCTCCCTCCTCTGAGATTCGTTGACCAACGGATCAGGCATTCTCAGTACCGGTTCCGCGACATCGTCATCAAGAGATTTTGGAGGTTTCCATTGCGCAGCCACAGGTCGCTCATCGTGGCGAAGCAAAGTCTCCAAGACCAACAGAATATAAGGGATCCACGGGGGCAAGTCTTCACCTGACGCCAAGGGAGGAATATTCAGGAACGAGGTAAACTCCTCCACCTTATCTTGCAGATTGTCAAGGTTGTTGCTGAAGAAGGTTTCGTCTTGTAGGAGCAAGGCTAAAAGATGGGAATATGATGCAATGCATTTTCCATTCTTTTTCTTTTCGTCCTCGTCAAAAGCCAGAGAAGAGAGTGCTAGGGTCACCGTTGAGCACACCTCAATATGCATGTCAGCATTCTCGTGGCGGATAACCATGGCTGTAATGAGTTCCGAGACTTCAATAGCACATTCGGGATGCGTGCGAATCACATCCAAGCATCTGTCTATCAAATCTTTGCGCAGATCCGAACGTTGTTTATCCAGATCTTCCTTAGTGGCTGTGAACTCCGAATGATTATGCTTGTCTGAACTACCGGCAGCATCAGAAACAGAACCAGGGACCACAACTGTTGTAGAGTGGCTTGTAGAGGCATCGCCCGCTCTGGCTTCTTCAGTGTCTTCCGGGGACCGGTCAGCAGAACCGTCTGGATGGTCACCATTAAAATCGTCCAGAGACATTTGATCAGCGTCTGATGAGGTTGTCCTTTGGGATGAGGGTCGGTCTGTCCTTGTGTGACGGTCATCGGCTAGAGCTGATAGATCGGCATCAGCTTGTGGAATTGGATTTCTTGCACCCCCAATGCCTGAAGTGTGGGCTCTGCAATACTCCCGAGCTGGTTGCTCATTTCCATTGGCTCGGAACAACGCTTCATGAACGAGACCTTCCTCAAAGTTTTCATTCACCAGATCGCGAACCAGCCCACGAACTTGGCCCCAATTGAACCTCGCATCGGCATATGCCAGCAAATAGAAGGGTTTCTATGGAAACATTAGTGGCTTGTGTATGAGAAGGCCTCACCATTGAAGATTGAAGACTTACCTTGTCTTGAGGTGTAGATGAGGGCTCGTGATCAGCAGCAGAAATCAGTTTCAGAATTTCAATGAGCCGTTTAGCGGTATGCTCAGGTACTTTCTCAAGAAGAGAAGAGTCCCACAACTTGGAAATGGAGGGCAAGATAGACGCTCGCAATTCTACCACGAATTGTTGGAAAATGTGCGGAACGGTCTGCGACCTGTCAGTCTGCCGTTGGAGATTGAAGTAATTGCTCGTATCAATTATGTTCTTTCCATTGCACAGAATGAGATAGAGGTCAAGGATCTTCTTCAGCCCAAATGTGGCGACTTTTGCCTTCGACGAGTCTTCAGGCTGGCTGTCGCCTCCCTGGCGCACGCTGCTAGCGAACGACTCAAGCATCAAACTCAACAGCTCTACTACACCCAGCTCCTTGAATGCAAGCAAAACAGGTACGATGAGTTGTGGGTTAGAGCGCTCGCTATGTCTTGTGGAAGCTTCACGTTGTTAGCCGGGACCATGAGCACGATACAGTGGGCTAAAACTTACGATGTTCAACTAGCATCTCATGAATGCAGTGGAGCATGATGATCCAATAATGGAAATCTTTGGAGGTTGGGCTTTTTCCTTCGACAGAGGGACGCAAATACTTCAGAATTGAGTTCGCCAGCGCTTTGGCAATCTCGATGTGGCGGGGTCGTGGGTATGGATCACCCTGATGCTGGTCCCGACGGGGCAGAAGGGCTCTTCCCAGTGACTGAAACAAGGGAAAGGTAGTCGGGATCATAGGATGCAGCACATTTCGGAAAACCTCGTAATTCTGGTATTGCGAGCTAGATTGTTCCTGCTCTGTTGGGTTGCTAGAGTCCGTGCTGCTCTCAGTTCTTCCCAAAGCATCAGGGATGGATGCCTGTCCTGCCTCATTCCCCGAGATTGTAGGTTGAGGGAATCCATCAAGAGGAGAGCTGCGTCTAGAGGACCAGCTTTGGGGAACCATGGTCAACTGACCAGCCTCCTCAGCGAGGACGCCGGGGAAGAGTGGACCAATAGAGCCAACAAGATGCAAAAACTTATCATAGACATTGACAGGGTAGAATGAAAGAGTGTTTGATCTCGAGGAGGTCTGGAAGCATTCAGAAATGATCTTGATGAATGTCTGTGCGTTGAGGAGGGCCTTGACCATGGCAGTACCCTTTTTTGCATTCCAAGGTATTTCAGCTTCTGTCGCTGGTAGTGAATATCCTGGTGCAATGAAAGGAGCAAAGATGGGAGGAACAGGCTCTCTCTTCGAGGCAATAGGCTCAAGAAAGTCAATTGCAGCCTGGGCACGGTTCAGAACCGACGGCAGTCCGCGAACAGGAGCAGATTCGACCAACTGGGACACTACTTGAGCCAACACACGGGATGCAAGCGAGTCGCCAAAGCTTGCGGTCAGGCTAGGCGATTCGCAAATGTCAAGTAAGAGTTCCAGACCACCCTTATCAGCAAAGTTGTTCTTCAGGACTGAGTTGTTCAAAAATGCAGATAAGAAACTCGACATCGCGAAAATGTAAGGAGTAAACGAGTTCTCCGAAGTCTCTTTTGTCGGAATACGGATTGGGGCAAGTCCAAGCCTAGGCAGGTCTGCTGGACCTGAACCAGCATCAATCATTGGCGTATCGTTATCTTGCGAGGCAGAAGAATCGTGTGCATCAGCCGACTCAGAGGCCTCGCTAAACGTACCATCACAAGAAACGGAGATATTTTTTCCGTCGGAGTCCTTCAAAAGCAGTTTTGTACCCCAGCCATCCGTCTGGGCTTTTCGGATTCCCATATATCGAACACGAGCTACCAAATCAATAACAGCGTTTGAGATGGAGGTTCTCAAGGCAGGGTGGTGACGAGCAAGTTCGTCAAAGTTTCCACCAACGTTACTAGCAAGATCGGCGTCACTTTCCATACATTTCACGTGAGCAGGGCTGAGAAAGATTTCGAAATATCTCTCGAAAGCCCGCGATGCCACGACCAGCTTCATTCCAGCATTATTCAGCGAAATTGAATTCAGAACGTGGGGAATCACGTTGATAGTTTCCGACGTTGGCAAGATCCCTGCTGCACACGGCTTGGATCCGAGCACTCGCATCATGTCCTCGGTCGGTGGATGGGGTCGGTCGTCGTGATCATCGATATCTGCCATTAGGGCTGAACTACCAGGGCTCTCTGGTTCATTTTCCGCGGCCTCGTTTGTTTTCTGATCCTTGGCAACCTCGTCGGAGATTGGCTGGTTTGTAATAGCTTCCAGATAGGTTTTGATGAGCCCGGAGTCGAGGATGACGGTAAAACTGGTGGGGTCGTTGTTGATGAAGTCGCTCAGAATGGTCACACTATTGGTCCAATCAACTGAGCCGAAGCTTTCTTTGTCTGCGATAACTTGTTTCAGACTTGAAAGCAGGTCTGATTTATCGGCCAGGTTTCGCAGAAGTCTATCTGTGTTGCCATTATAACTGTAAGAGTTCGACATGATGTGGTGAATGAATTTGAGAAGCCACCTAAGGGTCTGCTGTTGATGATAGGGGATCTTATAGTCTACGGCAATCGATCTGTGATCGGGGCCGGTCCCCTTGCCAGACTCCATTAGGCTGAATGCCGTCTTGACTGTATCAACCACGAGGTCGGCAACACCATCTAATCCGTTGGCGTTGAAAAAGGCAGTAAATGCGTTCTGGTATGTCCAAATCAACCCATCCAAAAACGCAACGACCATAGAGTGGTGGCGCTGTGCAACTTGGGAACGAATCTTAAGAATCTCGACAAGAACTTCCATAAGCCCTGCGGAAACCATCTCAGGCCCAACTCTAGTGTGCATTGATAAATGCAATGTCAGCGAGAACAGACTGTTACGCCAGTGATCCAAGCCAGTAGCAAGTTCACCCTCCTCAGCGCTGTCATCCATTTTCATCCCAACCACAGCTTTGCGAATAACGTAAAGGAGAATTCCATGGTTAACGTTGGCGTTCAAGGCTGATAATACATCTTGACATCGAGCATTGAAATTCGAAACAGCTTCCAGGAGAGCCAATGCAATACTCTGCAACCAAACGGGGAACTCTGGATGATTATTCGTAGAGGGATGGATCATTTCAGCAAGCTGGTACACCAGTTGGAACCTTCTCATCTCCTCGGCATCTTGGCGTAGGACCTTTTCAACAAAGATACTCTCGGTATGGATATATGCAAGGTTGGTAATTGCCAATAATCGTGTGGCCAGGAGGCACTGCCGATCTTCTACACGATTTCCTGTCAAAGCCTTGGCAACCCGGAGACGGTGGAAGACCTCGTACTTGACCGCGGCCGGCATGTCGGGCGGGCAGCGCGCAACTAGATCCGAAATAGGAGTCGTCGTCACTATATTTTGAGTGAGTTCAAAAGTCTTGTGGCTAGGTGTACTCGAATCCTCAGTCAATCCCGGGGTGCGAGGACCCAACGGAGACGAGTCTTCCGTCTGCGTTTTTGTCTTGGGAGTACTTTGATGGGGAGAGTTCATCGTCGAGCTCCGCCTCAAAGGTGTTGGTGTTGATGGTAGATTGAAGCGTGTGCTCTCGGTATTTCCATTGTTGTTGCTATCTTTGCTGTTGTCCGGGACATGATCGATAGGGTAGTAGGTCACCTTGATGTCTCCCCACCCATTCCAGTTGTGTCCTTCAGAGAAGGCCACAGATGAAAGATCATTTGCGTGCATTGGACCCAAGCTTTTGCTGCTATGTCCATGTGCTCTTTCTTTTCCTTTCGAAGTAGAAGACGGGGTTGCTGTTGCAGCAGACTCGGCAAGGCTAGCGATCGGCGTGCGAACGAAGGGCTGGGCTAGCTGTTGAACGCGATCGAGGTCGATACTGTAATGGTTGGCAAGAAGTGCACTACTAATGTGTCGTGATGCATTTCCAATTCGCCGGACCGACGCTTGATATCTTTGGGCTAGTTCGGATGCGACCTCGAGAGCTGCATTCAAAATATTCCAGGATGTTGAGTTCAACAAATCGTTCAGATGGCTGCTGCTAGCGTAAATGCTCCTGTTTCCACAATGCTCGAGAAGCATGCGTGTAAATTTCAGCGCGGCCTCAACAAGATGTTCATCACCATCTGATGGGATATGGAAATCCGCCGGCATTTCATCGCGCCAGTTGCTCTGTCCATTCAGCTCGGCATCCCCGCTATGATGCAAGAGGAGGTCGTTTCCAAACTCTTTGGGCTGCGGGCCTTTGCTTAACTCGTAGATGTCGCAGAACTTCTCCAGAATGCTGTCAAATCTGTTCAGAAGTGGAATCCAGTGGTACAGATCGCCGCGCCCGAAAGGCCATCGTGAAGGATATGAGGCCAAATGTTTGGGCAGGAGGGGTAGAGGGGTCGTGGCGGCGGCATCGACGTAGGACTTGAGCCAAGGAGACTAGAAAAAAAAGAAGACAGGTTAATGTGAGTGTCTAAAATACTAGCGACATGTAGCTTACCAAGGTCTCCTTGTGCTTGGGCTGTAGCGTCTTCGTTATCTTCCCCATGTTGAAGGTTGTAGCGGCCGAGCCGCAGGACTCAGGTGAAGCTCCCCCTCCACTACAATCAAGTCTTCTACGAAGACGACAGCTTTGCTGTTGTTAGGCGGAGTGCCCAGCTCCGGGCAGCTCCTCAAAGGGTGGTGAATGAATTAGCGGGCTGTCGTGGGGTGCTGTGTGCGACGGCGAAGTAAGCCTGATTGACGTCGCCAACGTAGAGCAGACACCAGTACTTTTTTTTTTTTTGCCTGTGAGTGCCAGCCTACCAAGAAGGACTTCTCAGTGGTGTATTAAAGGCAATGGGTGATGGTAAAGAGAGCTTAAAGTGAGATGGAGCTGCAGGACAGCATAAAGAAGAAAAGAATACGACGGAGTGAGAGAAGAGCTGCGATCGAAGCTAGTTCAACAGCAAAAGACGTGTGCAGGACGTCCCGGACTGTTTCCACCAACCTAAATCGGGGCTGCTGCGACGGGGGCAGGTGTCGGAGGGTATATGAAGTCCAGCCGTTTGTCCCTGGGGATCAAACAAACAGGAACCACGGTGGCAGAGAGGGAAGATGCGGGTGAGGATGAAACTTGTTGGAAGGTGGGAAAGGATACAAGTCGGTGTTGTACTGTCCGATGGTTGTCAAATGGTCTGTCAGTGCAGGTGGAGCTTTGCGTAATGTGTGCATCGTGCCTGGTGGTCTGTGCGCGCTCGCCCGCACAGCTGAGCAAAAGCCTGATCGCAGCTGCATCCGCAAAGAAGAAAATCCGGGACGAGGGTACATCCCGCCCAACTTAATTTTGGCGCATGCCCCAGGTACTCCAGGGACTGCCTCCCCCACCATCCAACTCCGTGCATCGCGCCTGGCAAGCTCCAAGGTAGGTGGTAGGCGGCTGGCCTACTGCAGCAGCCAAACCATCATTATTAATGCTCGTTGCGCGTGGCCCATGTTTACTTCCCGCCGCCCGTGGTCTGCTTGCTGGCCTCCTACCGCCCGCGCCCTTTTGCCAGGCTACCCGGAACCCCATCTCCATTAACATGTGTGCATCCAGGCGCTTACCTCTGCTCTGTTGTCAGCCATGTGCGGGCTGATTGCGGCCTGAGTGGTTCCTCACCCTCCTTCTCTCGCGGTAAGGCTGTCAGTTACTTGGGCAAGAATTGGCAAGGACAGACCCTCTTGGTTCTAGTATGCATATGCTCTCATGCAAAGCAAAGGTTTACCGCCAATGGATCCGACACCATGTCTCCGTATATCGAACTCATTAGAACCATCCACTGCTTAGTATACATCGACACGAATGATACACTTGTAATTATATACGGCAAGCCTTGGGTGTTAATACCATTATTATGACTATCTACTGGCCTTACTTTTGTCTACTACATGGTAGGTACATGCGTTGCAATAATTGGGATTTGCATCACCAGGGTCGCTGGGAGGGTCTTCCGAATCGGGCAGAGGCTATATCAATCCGTAGATGGTCACACCCAGACGGCGCAAGGATGTAGTTCTTGGATCTCATTCATAAAGAACAACCTACCTACTATTATTATTCGGTGGCCGGGACTTGCTACGTTATACTTAGCTGAGTTTAGTAGCGCGCATCCTATTACACCCTCAACAACCAAGACTTGGAAAGCAAACCTCGTTGTACAATTGTACTGGGTTAACTGGTCAATACAAATCTAGGCCAAGCAATCGGGCAGGGTAAGCGGCAGGTTTTCCCCTAGCTTCGGGTGTTTAATAACCCTCCAAAAGGTGTTGAGGATCAGCTAGGCACTGCGGGCTGTCTCCATGGGGCAGTAGAAGAATCGACGGTGTCATTTCCCCAGCCACACATGCGAAGGCAACGAAGACGCACGTGACGGAACCAAAAGCCTATCGTAACTCTCCAGACTGATGCTGATGAATTGGTGTGAACATGTGACACTGTCTCTTAGGCCCTTCGTATTCATACTGGATTAGGCTTGTGACAGACCAACGGCTAAGAATCAATGCGGGTTGGTCCCAAGGCGTGGCAGGAAAGCATAGCTTGCTAGGAGTCGATATAGAGGGGTAGATTAGGGAGACGGACATTTCTTGAGGAGGGGCGGTTTCAGTTGATTCCGCCTTCCTGGGTAATTCCTCCCTGTAGGTACCAACTGGGAGCGCAAGGCATTCCAGCCACAGATGGCCATGTAAGAGGCGAGAGTGGCAGCCGAGATGCTTGCTATCCTTAGCCTTGGGGTGAGATAACTGATGACTGTTCTTACAGCGGCGGATTATCTTGCGCACCCTCTCTTCTTTTAGTAACAGGATTACGGGTTCGTATATTACGAGCAGTGGCTGCCACTACGCCATAGTCCATACCACTCTGACGAGTCTGACGCTGGTTGTTGTGGATGGGTTGTGAAACAGCGAAAGAATGGGGCTTTTAGCGCCATTAGTCCAGGGGTACAGGCCAAAGATAGTGCCACCAGGATTTGGCGTTACCCTCTTCAACCCCTAAAACTGGCCTGTATCGCCCTGTTCCCACTCTGTAGGATGGCTGCTTTGTGATTTTGGTGCCCTGCCAGCTGGGATGGGATCCGTCCACCCATAAAGCGTCACATTCTCCTGTTTTTGACAGCATTCATTCACTCCACCACGGCATGAATTCGTCTTCGCGGGCGAAGATAGTACTCCCTTTCCTCAATTCCGCATAACGACATCATCACCTCCGCACTCGCTATTCGCTCCAACACCTCGGCATTTGCTTTGTTGATCGCATCCCTGGGAACCTCATCATCGGTGTTGCTGGAGCTGTGCCGTACTGTCCTGGAGAACAGTTTGATGGCCGCCACCTAAGCAACTCTTCAGCTCTGTGCTCAAATCCTGGATTCTCGAATTAGCCATGTCGCAACAACAGTTGGAAGTCACGTCCCCGACAGGGGCCCAAAATCAGAACTCATTGGACTCGGATCAAGATCAGGTATGGCCAGATGATGCGCTTCCTGCTGCTTAAGCGTTCCCATTACTGGAGCACGAAAGGTTAGAAGCTGACGCGGTGGCCTAGACCGGTACTCGCGAGACCGTCGAGGACACTGTTGACAGCAAATCTGTCCGGTCATTAACGAAACGCACAGTGTCGAGTTCGAAAACCTCGTCGAGTGACAACGATTCCCATGACGGTCTTCCCGATAACACGGCGAACCAGAAGGAAACCAAGTTGGAAACCAAGTTGGACTCTGTTGATTTAAGCAATAATGGTGGCGATGAGTTCGAGCAAATCATCGAAAATGGAATAATCTCCCCGATAAGTGAAGCGCGGACCCCTTTATCGAAACGGTTCTCCCATACATCCAACCTGGACAATGTGAGCTTGGACGATGAGGCTCCTTCTAAAGAAGAAGGTAAGTGCTCTATTGCTTTGAACATGTAATCTCTCGATTTCTGGATCTGACCCTTTTCCCAGAAGAAGCCGCCAAAGCCCAAGAGAAAGCCCCAAGCAAGACCCTCTCATTAAATAGCCTAACCAGCGCTCTTCCGACCATGCCATGGTCTCCTTCAAACGAAGCAATAGCTAAAGGTGCAGGAACCACTGAACCACCGTCATCCGCAACCTGGTCCCAACCAGCTCCTCCTCCCCCTCCACCCCCGCCTACGCGAAAGATTAGTAGCCCGTTTTCTTGGTTATCCAGATCCTCATCGAGCAAGGAGAAGGATCCTCCCCCACCACAGACTAGTCCTCGAAGAAACACGGCTAGTTCGATCGCAACTTTGACGAGCAACCCCGAAATGATGCTGAGCAAGTTGGAGGAAGAGAAAGAAGGGGAGACTGATGGTTCCAGCAAGGCTTTACGAAATAGCCTGAGGGATAGATTTAAGCTGCTTCGTATGAGAGAAGAGGCTGGGATTACGACTTTGACTGGTGAAGACGACCAAGTTGAGCTTGTCAATGGCACAAGGAGTCTAGTGGCTTCGCCTAATTTGTCGGAGGAGCCACCTGTGCCAGCGCCGGTCGCCAATCTTGCACCCGGGACTGTATCAGGCGTGAATGCCGGACCCTCAGCCTTGCCGCCCGCAGAAGTTGATTGGGACCTATGGCAATCTGTCGTTTATGAAGGCCCGGCCGCGGTAGCCCGCACAAGCGCCGAGGAGCTCAATAGAGCCATTGCCACTGGCATACCTAGCGCTATCCGAGGTGTCATTTGGCAGGTTCTGGCGCAAAGCAAAAACGACGACCTGGAACTGGCGTACAAGGATCTAATTGTGAGAGGCACGGAAAAGGCCAAGTCGAGAAACAGCAACAGCACTACAACGAGCGCTACTAGTAACGGGAATCTCGGTGTCAGCAGCCCGGAGGCGGTGGCATCATCGGCCTCTTCTATCCATTCCAACTACTCCGCTCAGAACAGCCCTGGTTCTCCTCCTCTCGACGCAGCCGGCAAGCCTCAGATTCTTTCTGAAGCTGAGAGGAAGCGCAAGGAGAAGGAAGATGCAGCCGCGCTACAAAAGTTGGAGAAAGCTATTCGACGAGACCTGGGTACTCGGACCAGCTTTTCTAAATACGCCGCTGCTTCGGGACTTCAAGAGGGTCTTTTCGGTGTCTGCAAGGCTTATGCACTTTATGATGAGGGGGTCGGCTATGCCCAGGGCATGAATTTCCTTGTCATGCCCCTACTGTTCAATGTAAGTGAACCCTGTTCTTGGCTGTATAAAGCAAAGCTAATAGTTCATCCAGATGCCCGAACAAGAAGCGTTCTGCCTTTTGGTGCGGTTAATGACTCATTATGGACTTAGGGATCTCTTCATCCAGGATATGCCCGGTCTTCATATGCGCCTCTTCCAATTTGAGCGCCTATTAGAGGACTTTGAGCCCGCATTGTACTGCCACCTTCGCCGACGTGGCATCACATCTCACCTTTATGCGACCCAGTGGTTCTTGACCCTGTTCGCCTACAGGTTCCCTCTGCAACTTGTGCTTCGAATTTACGATTTGATTTTTTCGGAGGGTCTTTCTGCTATCTTGCGATTTGGCCTGGTATTGATGCAGAAGAATGCCACCACCTTACTTGGACTGTCCGACATGGGGCAACTCACTGGGTATCTGAAAGACAAGCTTTTCGACGTCTACATTGACAAAGACCCTAGCCACGGAAGTCTCCTTGAGAATGGTTTCTTTGGTAGCTCGAGCTCCAGCATGGATAAAGAGGTCTACCGAGCAGACCAGCTCGTGACGGACGCATGTGAAATCAAGATCACCCCTGAGATTCTGAAAGCCTACACCGTCGAATGGGAGGAGAAAACGAGAGCCGAGAAGGAGCGAGAGACAGAGCTACATGACCTCCGGGTAGGAAACCAGCAGTATGCCAGTAAGCTTCGCAAACTGGAGGAACGAGTCGAGGCCTGCGATACTGAGCAAGCGGCTCTCGCCACAGAGCTTGTGCACACCAAGGTCGAGAATCAAGAGCTCAAGGATGAAAACGAGAGTCTCAGAGGCCAAGTCCGGGAACTGCGGATCGTTATCGAGAAGCAGCCCATCGAAATCGAGGAGACATGGAACCTAGAGAGGGACGACCTGATGAAGCGCAATCAAAAGGTTCATGAGGAGAATCAGGAACTCGAGAAGAGCCTTCAGGAATTGGAGGAACAACTGGTTGCGACCAAGTTGCAGTACGCAGAGGTATGTATAAGCAGTTATCGTCAGTTCCTTGTTGATGGTACAATTTCAAAATTTGCTAACTGCCGTGTTATAGTTGAACTCTCAACACGAGGCGCTGAGCCGCAAGTGGGCCGATCTCAAGCGTCAATTTGTTTAAAGGGTTGGCATTTGGTTAATCGCATTTTTATTTCTCTGTCAATGATAATGTATATACAGCATTCATTAGCCGTGGCTCTCACCGCCCTGAGAGGTGGTCTGTAACATGTTCAAATTTTCATTTGGTTGGGAGGCGACGGTGTTGGAATACCAGCAAAAGCGCTGTGGTGCATGATTCAACGGTTCACACATGGAGAGGTACGAAGTGGAATTTGCTTAGCTGTCATTAAAAAAGGGGCACAACCTAGAACTCTCGCGAGTTCGCAGGGGGTTGTTGATCCCCGCACTGATGCTACTTAACTTTTTATGAAAGCCAATTGATTTGAGCATTAATTGTTTTTTTGCCATTGCGTCACGGATAAAACGTAGATACCACATACGAGAGACCTTTTGTATAGCGTGAAGTCATGCAAGAAATTTTTAATTTACCCGTTCCGATGCCTAACTTGAAGCTCTTTGTGACCTTTTCATCGCCACAAACTAGGAGAAATCCTTCAACACCAAATCAAGGGCTATCAATCACCGAACAACCGTCATTTATTTGTGGAGCTTGCGCTGGTAGAAGGCGAGCTCCTCACCCTCGAGGATGTAACCGTCGACGCGGCCGGACTGGCCGGGACGGCTGGAGACGACGGCGTACAGGCGACCGGCCTCGAACTGCTTCTCAACGGCGTTCTCGACCTTGCCCTGGGAGGCGTAGCGGGCGGCCTGCTTCTTCTCGACCGAGTTGCTCTTCTTGACCTCCTCGGCGTCCTTGCCCTGGGCCTTCTGGCGTCTGCGGCCGATGCTCTGGCCGTAGTGGGCCTCGTACCACTGGCGGAAGGGGGCGGCGTCGATCTGGACGACGGCGGAGCGGGTCAGGGTGTTGGTGCGGACGAGCTCGTTGTTGGAGGGGTGGTAGGCGACGGCGATGACGCGGGTCTTGCGGGTGCAGCCCTCGGAGGCCCAGGCGAAGTTGCCAGAGTCGAGGCGGAGGGCACGGTACTTGTGGTTACCACCGCGGGTGCGGATGGTGTGGACGCGCTTGGGGCCAATACGGGTGTTGGCACCCTGGCGACCAGCTTCGAAAGCGCGCTTCTTCCCTGTTGAGGTAGGTCAGAACGTATGTTTCACAGAAATCATACGGGCTTTCGAGTATTTTATTGATTGTACGCACGGTAGTAGGCGCGCTTGGCACCGGAAGCGGATCGCTTGTGGCGGGAGTCGCGTGAGATACCCATGATTGCTAGTGCTGAGAGAGTTGTGTTCGTTAGCCAAAGGTCTTTGCCAAAGGAATAGGACAAGAGAAATCTCCAAGCTTCAATCCTCTCGATACCGGCGGTTTGAGGCGGCGGCGGCGGGGTGAAATCGACAGGATCAATGGATGTTCGTTTGAATTCGAATATCCTGTTGATTTGAAGCAAGGAGGGGACAATGATATGCTGTATGGACTCACCTGATGATGTTGATGCTCACCAGGGCAATCTTTTGGCGGTTGTGGAAGGAATGGTTTTTTTGGCAATTGGATGTGGAGGTCGAATTGGAGGTAAAAATTGTGGTTGTGGGCTGGGGTTTTCCAAGGGCCCCACACCACATTTGCTTGAGGGCTATCGGAGTACGGTCACTAATCTTCCGGGCTGCATCACGTGCGAGCAGGCTGTTTCTGACCCGCTTACTAACCAGACTGCTGGTAGGGCTGGTCTTCAATTTTCATATGGGAAACGCCAAGCAGAAACCAACAAAGAATGGAAGTAGAGGTTCTTATATCCTGCGGTCGAATAATGTCCATCCAATTACCTAGTCTCTTGGATGACAGCTTAAACTAACGTGCCTACCAGTACCTTCAGACCGAATATGCCATTGAACCTCCTGTTGATATGACCATTTTCTCTCCCATCTTGTAAAACCATCAGAGTAACTTGCTTCAATATCGTCCCTTCAACACACATGCCCCAAATTGCGAGAACCATGTCCTGCACCTGATATTCCTTGCTCTTACTTGAAGTCTTTTGTTTCCTCTTCTTCATTGAATTCGTTCTCAATGTATTCTAACAATTGATAAAAGCAGGGGGGCACCCTGGCGAGCCCGGAGTCCTCTGGGAAAGAATCTGGGAAATTATCTGGGAAATTATCTGCCTCATCCTCTGGCTCCTCCGTGGTATGGCAGAGGGGCAGTATGAACCGAGCATCGCATTTGACTGCCTCATTCTCCTGCTTCATGCCTGCGTCAAGACTGGATATCTCGCCATTGGAATGATCCCGGGACCGGGACGGGAATGTAGTAATCGGGATCAGAGGAAGGGGGAAATATCGACCGTGTCGAGGAGCTCTGTGGTCGCCATCCTCCTTGAAATCTGCCATTGTGGGCCACCCCGCCTGTGCTTCATGGTCGCCAGGCTGTGATCTGTTGAACCAGCTCTCCGCAGCAAAGAAGGGTGAGAGGGCATCGCCAAATATCTCACCGTTGAACAGCACTGGCTTGGGTTGAAGCATGGTGTCGTCTTCTCCCTGTGCCTCTTTTTTCCGCTGGCTCAGCTCCACGCGCTTGAAGATATCTCTGGTCAGCTTCCTTGTTTTGATACTCGTCGTCTCTAGCCTGAAAGCTGCGAGGTCAGCCGGACTCTGGGGGATCGCGGGGGATTTATCGGCTCCCATGTATTGAAGGTGAAGCTTCATCTTCTGAAATGCTGCGCGCTCCCTGGTCTCCTTGCTAACCCATCGCTTAGATTGGGACCATGTCCCTGTGTCTGCCGGCTGGGCTGAGAGCGAAGATGCACGTTGAGCTGTCGGCTTTGATCGCCTGAAGGATGCAGGAGCTGTGGGCGCATTGGCCGGCGGCCGACGTTGCTGCATTAGCAAATTTATTGCGTTTGCTATTCCGTCCCCGAGTTGCGGTCGTGGTTGTTGAAGAGTGACCGGATGAGTGCTTAGGGGTAGGTCCAAGACCTCCTCGGCATCTCTGTCCTCGAGGAGAATTGCCCCTTGAGCGGGAGATAGAGCTCTGCTATACCCCATTGCTTTCCTCGCTTTTGCTGAATCTACTAGATTGCTCACTCTCGGTTTCTTATCCTGCCAGCTACGCGGATGGTTGGGTGCTGTCTCCACCAGCTTGTACCTGGGTCTTATCACCCCTTGGCTACCGGAAAGTACAGATTGGCTTGATGTCTCGCCAGGTTGCTTCCGTCCGAACAAAGGAGGGTTGGGTTTGCTCTTGACCTTGAATTCGAAGCCTGGGGGTGGTTCCGTAAAAAACGGGCTCAGTATGCCAGGATTCAGAAGTGGTCCAGCCGTCTGTGTTGAAGGCTGGAACAGTGTCTGTTCGAACAAAAATGGCCAAGGCAGTCCAAAGATTTGAGGATCTTGTTGAATGTAAAGCTTCTCTTGGTCATAGGGCGCGAAAAGTTCGGGTTGGAATCCTTGGAACTCGATCGCCTTATCTATAGGATTAAATGGCAAAGCTTTGTTTCTTGGTTGCTGGTTTTCGCTTCCGAATAGCAGTTTGTTCCTTGATACGGTGTTTGGGGGTGATGTGGGAATTGTGGCAGAAGTAGTGAGACTCGAGTGCCCAGCGAGGATATGGTTCTTTGCTAGGGAGGGCGTAGAGCTTCGTTTCGATGAACAAATATCTCGGATCTTTTCTGAGAGATTGGAACGGTGACGCGATTCTGTGGTTAAATCCAAGCTGGAGGCCGTGGAAGCAAAACCATTCTTTGAGGGTGAACTAGCGGGCGAGGGGAGAACTTGGTCGTCCGCATCTTTATAGGAAGCTTGATGCTTGTGTCCAAGTGGGCTTTGATTCTTATCCTCGGAAAGTTTTCTGCCTGGGATTAAGATTTCACCCGGTTGAGTAAACGGCGGCTGTTGAATATGTTCATCGGGCGGCGTCATCGAACCTAATCCAGGAGGATGGTTCTTCTTCACGTACAGATCGCGACCGGTGGCTTCCCGAGGAGCATCCCTGTCGACATCCCCGGGTCTGAAACTGGCAGCGCATGGATTCATGGTGTTTTCAAATGCTAAATTCGTGTTTGGACTCGTGCTCGTCGTCGGCGAGGTGAGAGGCGGCAATGGTGCAAGCGAAGATCCGACAAGCCACTCGAGGCGAGTTTTCTGAGTTTGACGATAGTGAATTCAAAAAGGTTTGGGCAGTAAAAAGCTCTCTGGAGGCGTTTAAATCCCGAAAACGAAGCGAAATGGCGAGGTGGAAAGAATAGAAATTGGGGAGGAGGGAGAGAGAGGTCATTAGCAAACACAACTTGTTGTGAGGGAGATGTGGCCGGGCTCGTCATGAGGCTAAATTGAGCTACGGTGCAGCCCAGGCCATCGTAGTAGTTGTTTATGAAGAGCAAAACGCCTAGCGATTGTTGGAAATTCGCCCTGAGCGGTGAAAACAGGCGAAGGTGCTTTGCAGGCAGAAGGGAACTGGCCGACGCGGCGACACTCTGCAATGTTTGCTCCTTTGTTTAAGCAAAGAGCAGGCAGTGATTATTCAGGATCAAGAAAACCTGTTTGTTCAAATTCAAATCCATCACTATTCGTGCGGACTTTCATAGCTAGCAGGTAGAAAGGCGCACTGACCGGGCTGGCAGAATGTTGACCTGGTGAAGAACGGGTGGCTGCAGGGCGACTCGCGTGGCATCTCACAAATAGACAGGCCGAAGCCGTCTAAAAGAGGAAGCATTGAACAAGGGAAATTTCATATGATTCTGTAATACATAAAATGGACGGAATGCACGCTTATTGTGGTAGCTAAAGATGTAGTGGCTCACAGGTTGATAATGGGGATGTTACTTGGTATCATGAAGACAGCGAGTCCTCGTTCTAGGGAGCCCGTTTTAGCAATCATTTCTCGAATAGTAATAGTGCACTAGATAATCATTGTTGATATATGCAGGCTACCGTGGCTTCGACGCATGTCCGTAGTAGGCAGAATACTAGTGCCTAAGGTAGGTGGGATTCCCTGCCATGAACAAAGACCAAGGACTACAGGGGACCAGATGATGCCTACAGAGGCATCGAAGAACTAGACTATGCCTGCGTGTGTATGAACCCTAGAGCTCGTGGAAGTGTGTGCTAGTGTTGAGCGTGAAGCCGTAGCTATGGCTGGAAAGGGCAAAGGGCGTGCTGGCTTGGAGTTGAGCTCGGCCTCCCCACATTCAGCCCTTGTCGCCCTGCATGGATACAGACACCCGCCAACAAAGCACGGTGATCGCTGACCAATGCCTATAACGGCAATTGTGGTTGACAGAGGTGCTTCAGTAAGCATACCTTGGAAGTTCACGGCTATTCCTTTTGTGCTGCATCATTCTCATCGATCCTTGTTGCATCATCGGCATCTGGCTATTTGGCCAGAAACGGAAAAAAAGCAGACTCTTGGCAGGGCAGGGAGCCATTTACATGTGACCCTCCGACACGCTGGATTCATCGGCATTTCAGCAAAAGAAAAACACCGACGGCCACTCATTCACCCGTCTTGCGATTTCTAGATGCACATGATTGATTAGAAATGTTAATTGGACATCTGAGTGGACAAATAATGTTTTTGGCTTTTGGCACATGGCGGAGATCGAACTGAGCTGTAGGCTGGAGATTAGGTAGCTCCTCGGTACTTGGTGTTGTAGTAGGTAATTTCGTAGGGAATAAGTAACACGTTTTGCCCCCAACAATTTTTGTCTACCCATCCACTTCAACCACAACCAGCCCTCTCTCCAGCCCAAGGCGTATCATCATGGCGCAAACCCAGACCGTCAAGCTGACCAACCGGTGTAAGAATCGAATTGGCCTGCCCTCGAAGCCTCTGCTGACCTCTTGGCCCTGAAAGCTCCCAAAAAGCCCATCAAAAAGCTCCCAGAATCCATCCAGTACCCCGCCGATGCCACCGTCGAGGAGGTCAAGGCCCTGATCGCAAAGGCCTGCGGCATCAAGGATTTCAACCGCATCGGATTGTTCGATCCCACCACCAACAAGACCTTCAAGAACCGCAAGGCAGTGCTCGCCGAGGAGCCATCCATCCAGGCGGGCAATGACATCCTGGTCAAGGACCTGGGTACGATTTGATATTTGTTCTCCAGCTTGGAAAAATTGAAAAGTCACAGGGCTAACCATTTACTGCTCCAACAGGCCCCCAGATCGAATGGAGAACTGTATACGTGATCGAGTACCTCGGCCCCCTTTTGTTCCACGCCCTCGTCGTCGCCGCCAGGCCATACCTCTACAACAAGGGCGTCGACTTCCCCCTCTCGACAACACAATGGATCACCTTCGCCATGATCATGCTGCACTTCCTCAAGCGGGAGATTGAGACCCTCTTCGTGCACAAGTTCTCGGCAAACACCATGCCCGTCTTCAACGTCTTCAAGAACAGCGCCTTCTACTGGCTCGTCTCCGGCCTCGTCTGCGCCGTCTCCATCTACCGCCCCAACTCCATGGCCGCCGCCGCCGACGAGATCCTCGTCGACTACGTCGGCCTCGTCGTCTACCTCTTCGGCGAGCTCGGCAACGCCTCCGTCCACCTGTACCTGTCTAGCCTCCGCTCCGCCGGCGGGACCGAGCGCAAGATCCCCGTCGGGTTCTCCTTCACCCTCGTCACCTGCCCCAACTACATGTTCGAGCTCATCTCCTGGGCCGGCATCATCATCGTCAGCCGCGAGTGGACCGTCGTCGCCTTCATCGTCATGGGGGCCTACCAGATGTACGCCTGGGCCTGGGGCAAGGAGAAGGCCTACCGACGGGAGTTTGGCGACCTGTACAAGAAGAAGCGATATGTCATGGTTCCCGGCATCATCTAAGCACTATGCGAACTTTGATAGGCATGATAGAGATTTGGATCCTTTGGCTACGTACACTTTTAAGGATGGCTGATGTACTTGGCTGGGGTCGGCATTAGATAGGTTATGAGGACTTGGAGTATGATGGAGAAGATAATGAAGCGAGTTAAAAAACAGACATTAGAATTGGATGTACTGGTAATTCATATATTAGACACGGTACAAGCCACTACCTAATAACGGCAATAGCAAAGATGAGATAGAATTGCCCTCCCTCGGTATGCCAACCGGGAGCACTACCACGCCAGAAGGCAGAAACCAAGATATTGAATGTGTTGAAGTAAATACCAAGAAACAAAATAAAGAAAGTTTAAGAATCACATAAAAGGCTTAGTAGAACCACACGCCGTCATCATTAGTCGCTGTAGGGTTTCAAAAAATCATTCCCCCTAGAAAACAGCTCGCTTTCGTTTGCTCGTTCGATGTCGCCATCCAGTATCATTCTCTAAATCGAAGTAGTCGCCGAGGCCGTGTCCGGGCTCTTGGTCGAGCTGGTGCCCGTGCCAGACTCCGGCTCGTTCAGGCTGCGGCTCGCATCGGACAGAGACAGGTCCGCGACGCTGATGGACTGCTCCTTGGCGCCGCTGCCGTCGTCGCCGCCCTTGCTGCTGGGGTCAGCCGCGCCCTCATTATCGACGCCGCTGTGATCACGACCCTGGCCGCTGGCCGCCGCCACCCCGCACTCACTCGCGGACCCGCCGCACTCGGAGCAGCTGCAGCTGCAGTCGCTGTCGGCGTCGTCGCTGCTGCCGTTGGCCAGGCGGACCGTCTCCTCGAGGACGAGGAACTGCCTCTCGAGGACCTCGGCCCAGTTCTGGACGTTGCCCAGCTCCTTGATCCGGCGGGCGGCCACGTCGGCCTCGCGCGCCAGGCGCTCCCGCTCGCGGCGCAGGCCCGCCGTGGCCGCGACGACGCTGCGCTCCTGCTTGTCGAGGGCGCCGGCGTTGTCGTGGAGCATGGCGGCGCGCGACTGCAGCTCCGTGTCGACCAGGTTGCTGATGGAGGCGACGATGGCGCTGCGAGCCGAGGCGATGCCGCGCTCAGTCTCCGGCGACGGGAGCGTGGGGTGGATGTGGTGCTGCGGCGGCGACGAGGAGGATGGTGGCGGGAGCCGGTGCTGCTGCTGCTGCTGCTGCTGGTGGTGGTCCTCGTCCTCGCCGTAGGAGGAGGAGGAGGGCGGAGGAAGAGGATGGTGGTGACTATGCTGCTGGTGCTGGTGCGCGTGGATGTGAGCCGTGGAGATGCTGGGAGGAGACGCCGGCGCAGGGGAGGTCGACGAGGTCGTCGACATGATGGGCCGGTCCCCTGTTGGTTGTGATATATATCTTTCAGGTCTTTGCTCGTTAATGCCGTGAGTCGGTTTTCTGGCCCTCTTCTCTCCTCAGCTCGTTCCTTTTTCCCGGGTCCCTGTTTTTTCTCTCTCTTTCCCAGCCTTGATGGCCCCCCTCTGTCCTGCGTCTATGCGTTGTTCGTTGGATCCAATCCAATACGGGTGGGCTGCCAACTAATAGTAGCTGGGGTTTGACACGTCTGACCTGATGATGAGATGGAAGGCGACTATGCTGGATGATGATGATGATGACGATGGGTGCTTCGGGGAGCGCGGAGCTGACTTCATCGCCCTTCGACCACACTCGACGGGCAGCATGTACCTAGGCAGTTATGACGACTGCCGTGTGTTTTTGCGCGGACATCTGTTTGGCCCATATGTGTCTATATGCACGCTGCTGTACAGAACCCCGGCAGGTGATCAAGATGAGTGTGGGTGGGGTGCTTGTGAGGATCCTCCAACGAGCATTGTGAAATGCTGGGGCACTTGCATGAACCCTGTCACAGTCAATATGCAGTGCTCCCTACCGGCGCCTTAATTATCTGTCTGCTCTGCATAGTACATGCAGCTGGAGGTAGGGATAAGTCACGCAGCCTGCAGCCGGTTGGGGAGGTGTTGTTACACCCCTATAATACAAGGATGAGTCGTGGAAGAGACCATTGGAAGCTAGAGCAAGGCGAAACTAAAACAAGACGAATGGCTTTAGCGTATGCATGATGGGCCCTCTGCATGAGAATGGTGAAGAAAACAATCTGATCTTTGCTTCACCGACGTTCTTTGCCGCACACCTGTAGCTTCTTAGCCATGCGTGCGCATCTTAGTTGCCTGTAGTATTACATACCTGCCTACATGACAGTCTAGGTGCCCATTTATGGATTCGGATGGGACCTTGCCCTACCAACGGGCGCATATCACACGTCTGCGTGTGTTGCTGTTGGGTTGCATCCACAACACACCCAGACTGGGTCTATGTTGAGAGACAGTAGCCTGGAGAGTAAAGGTGGCGGCCTAGCTGTGCTCTCTATCAGGTCAGAAAAGAGATCTGGGAGTTTCCAATTGATTAGCTGACCAAATCCTGTTTTCACCTTTTATCAGGAGACGACAAATTGTAGTTGGCGATTTGAAGCTCCGTCGATAAAGCATTTATTGCGTTGGCGTCCTGTGACGTGTCAAAACCCCCTAATTCAGCTACCTGCCTACATAAATTTAATACTATGTATGTAATGCTGGCTATCCATTCACCTGCCCATCGGTCCTCTTCTCTACTTCCACGCGTCCATGCTTTATATCAATCGTTGTCTCGTTGATGTGTCATGCCGTCCTCATTCCACGCCACAACCCCGTTCTACCCCTATGATGCATTAAATTAACCCAACTTCCAACGTCTCTATTCGCCAGCGATAGAGATTTTCTTGCTCAGCTGCTCCTTTTTGGCCTTTTTTGTATGTAGGTAGGCAATATGCAAATCACAGCTGGACACAAACAACAAGCCCAGACATTGAAACAAAAAGAGACGAAGAGAAAATCCAATCCAAAGCGCCCGAGTCATCCCACAACAATTGAGGAAAACCAACAGATAAGTACTACTTGGCAGTACAGATTAAGAAAAGAATTAAAGTCCCTGCAGGTTTTGCATGCCTTTCAACAAGACACACCGAATCATGCTTCTGGAAGGCTGACAGCACGACCCCCACATGTCTCCCGCGGTCTGTATCGCTTGATAAACAATGCACTCAATCCAATAACTATTCAGGGCCACTCATCAAAAAGCGCCTCGCCCCCCATTCTTTCGGAACGTTCCAGCGCCACCAGAGGCTGGGCTCATGATCGAAGGAAAGCCGTACTCCCCTTCAGCAGACGATTGGGAAGAGACAGACGAGAACGAGTTCAGCCCCGAATGTCCCTTCCGCTGAGGCATTGTTGGCCGTGACATGAAAATGCCAGGATTGGCCATCAGAGTATCTGCTCGGTCAAAGACGTTTCCGTGGAATGCAGCCGCAAACGAGGTGTTCTGCGGCGTCTTTGGCATGGTGGCCTGCATTGCTGGTCCCAACGCTGCGCTCTGGGGTGTAATTGGAACCTGAATGGGTGATATCGGTTCCGACCCTCTGGAAAGTGTGTGCCCGGGGTGGGAGTGGTGGCCCCCATTCACACTAGATGACTGCAGGAGGTGGTGCCAAGGAGAGTTAACAATAGTTCCAATCGTTTCCTTCATGCTCTGGTGAATAGGTCGTAACCGAACCCTAGTGTCATGCGGGAGCACAACTCCAGTCGGTGCCTGCTTGATTTCCCAGGCCAACTCTGTCCAAGACACAACGAAGCTACTGCATAAGCTCCAGAAACTGGACTGAGACCTGATCCCAGGTTCTTTCAACTTGATCAGAGACAAGCGGGTTCTCATCACCTCCGTTTGGCTGATGGTGTTGTTACACATGGCAACAAGCCCTTTCCAATTTCTAATTAGTGGAGGTGCGGTACCCTTCTGCATCGCGTTCCTCAAACCCCCCATTAATTGAACATTAAAATTTGGTAATGTGTGCAGCACAATATCCGAGGATCTTTGCAAAGATAGAAAGATTTTATCAAACTGCGCGTCCTCCTCTGTTGAAGCATCAGAGCCAAGACCGCGACTGTTGATAGATGCAAACGACTCTCCGGATCGCGGAGTGGCAGACGCAATCGTGGCAGTGCGTGTCCCATTGCCATATGGTGAAGGCAGTGGGACATTTGTCGCGACCCTCAGGTTGGCTGCAGGATTAATTACTAAGGTTCCATTACGGCCTCTCAAAGGTGCTGGTTTCAGAGCCTTTGAGGGAACAGAAGGTTCTCTCATGTGTGGCCGAATTGTTAATCCCCCATTCAACGGCTCCGTAGACGATGATCTTTGTTTACCGTCTTCGGCGCTGACAGAAGACATTGTAACCCGAAGCTCCATTATGCTATTATAAATCAACATCAGAAGAGTCCGAATATATCGGGGGTCTCCATAGTCGACGAAAATATCAATATTGTCGGCAAGCAGAGTGCAAACGTGTCCATATGCGCTCACCAACGTCTGGCATGCCCGATGGACCGTTTCGTTTTCCCTCGTGAAATGCTCATCCTCGTCAACCAGCCACTGGTCATGTTTTTGAATTGCTTGCTCCAGCTCTTCGACGTGCGAGTTCGTATTGTAGAATACAATTTCGAGGCTAGATCGCTTAGAGCCGTCGTCGGCCAGGCTCATCAGCGACTGTATTATTGGGTGAACTTGGAACACCGAGTAGAGGATGCCTTTTGCAATTTCGATGACTGGATCATACACCTTGGACTCCCGTCTGCGTTCAGGAAGGATAGATAGCCGACGCACATATACCGGCCGCTGAGGATATGGATCAGTAGGGGTCCCAGGGTCCATGGCACCGTGCATAGCCGACCCATGGCTCAAGCCCCGATAATGGCTGAATCGATTGCTCGCCTGTGTCTCATCGAGTGTTACTAGATCAGTCGGCTTCTTAGAAACAACACCCATGCGCCGGTTGCGACTTTCGGATCGTTCCGAACGCAGGTTAGTTTCAGAATTGCTGCGAACACGTTCACTCGCGGTTCCGAGGGTGAGGGGCATCACGCCAGGTCGTCGGATGGCCGTGTTTTGCTGGGACAACCCGCGGTAATGAGATCGTTGGGGGATGGGGGGGATGCGGCTGGTGCTTGGCGAGCGGCTATCTGAGGGATCTGCGCCATTGACTTTGATGGGAAACCGGCCGCTGACCCTTCGTTTGAGGGGAGCTCGAGGCGTTTCAGTACCCTCACTTGATTCATCTCCCGCTTGGTCGTTCTCCAATCGCCCAGTTAAGCTATATTGTTTCAACCATCGCTTCATCTGTGCGGTCACCGCGAGCTCCACCTCGTTGTCCCGGATCGTGCCGTCTCCAACTGGGCTTGGGGCTTGGAGTAAAAGGGCATCCTTTGGAGGGAAAACCAGAGGGTTCCCTTCGAATTTCAGTGCTTGCAAGGACGTCATGTCACCAATGCTCAGAGGAAGCTCTCTGATTCTATTTTTCCGAAGAGAGAGCATCTTTAAACTAGTAAGCTTGGCAATCTCTGGGGGCAAATATTGTATCTGATTTCGGCCAAGCTCGAGTACTTCCAAGGCTTTTAAATCGCAGAGCTATCCACTAATGTCAGGCGATGTGAGTTCAGCGTGCTTTAAAAGGAATCTTACCGTCATAGGGAATTCAGAAAGCTGGTTAGCCCTAAGGTTGAGATATCGCAAAGATGTGCATTCGGAAAATCGAGCGGGCAGTGCCGTCAGTTGGTTGTGCGCCAGAATCAGCCTAGGCAATGCAGTCAGCAAACACTTCTATGAAACGATTCCTCGAGAATATTGGGATTTACCTTGCCAAATCATTCTTCATGATATCAACCACCTCGTCCGGCAGCTTGTGGATATTCTTTCGGCTCAGATCGATGGTAACGCCAGGCTGCAGACTCGCGCTCACAGCACTAGCCTCGGCAACCTGGTTCTCGCTCTCGAGAGCTGTTCGCATAGCCTCGCGTGCGAGTGATAAGACGTGGGAGGAATTCATTCCGTTCGCGACCGCCAAGTTCGAGCTCGAAGCAGATTTGCGCATGGTAGGAATAGGAGGATGTTGGGGCCCGTTGGAAGTAGCCGCAGAGTTCGGAATAGGTCGACGTCCTGACAATGGATTTTCAGACAAGCTTCGCAAGACCGGCGCGGCAGGGGCGCCGTTGGATCGGTCAGGTCTTTCCACAGCCATCGCGACAGTGGTAGATCAAGGCCTCGAGAGAGAAGGTGAAGTTGTATCAGGAGTAGGCGGCGCCAGCTCGGAACTCAAGTTCCTTTTCGCAGAGAAGAGCTTAGGTTCGGGCGCTCTCAGAGTTTCGTTCAGCTCAAGGGCTCACTGAGAATGGCCTGCAAATCCTTTAATCGGCGGGCTGGGATCGATTCAGATGCCAATCAAGGCTGGGATGGCTTAGTGGACGAGGTACGTGCGGTCATTGTGTTTGGTAACTGCAGAGTCGCGGAAGTCTCGGGATCCAAGCGGCTACCCCTCGAAAGATGCGGTCGGTGGGAGTGGTTATGAATCGTGGTCAAGCCGTTGGTCACAGGCGGCCTTGTTTGTCTGCTGGCTTTATCACTGAACATAAGACAACGTCCGCAAAGATTCGCTTGCCAATCAGCGGCGCGAAAAGCGGCGTCCGAGTCAGCTTAGGCAGTGGATGACCACCCCGCAAGCCGAATGCCGTCGAGGAAAGATCTCGGAGGTGCGCGCAAGGACGAAGCTCGCAGTTGACGTGCCAGCACCCAGTCGTCGGCGAGGCGGTTGACAAGATGGGGGAACTTGGATCGGGTAATGGATGCCTGAGTACAACTTCAAGGTACCGTTTCCTGTCATCCAATCGCCCCCTCCGCTTGCCACTAGCGCACGGTCCCTGACTCCTTGGGCCCCAGTTAAGGGGAAAATACAGTGCGGGAGCGCTGCCTGCACTGGCGTCCTGTTTTCTTTTCCTTCCATTTTTCTTCTTTCGCCCCGGGACCAGGCGCATCCCGCCACGAGGTGGACTGACACGGCGCTCAGCTCGCCCCTAGAAGGACAGTGCGAGTCGCGTGCCGCTACCACGATGGAGCGTGGACGCTGGTTGGGCTGATCGCGCCCACCGTCAGACCCTGCCACCCCCTACTGGCCTACCAGCTTTTGCGGGCCTTGACTGAGGTGCAGGTGCTAAAAAGGGCCTTAACTGTGGTGGATTGGGATCACCAAAACTAATCGCCGACTTCTCTGACTCCTGATCCAAGACTGCTTAAGTATATAAACGTACAAGTTAGACAAAAAGGCAAAAAATCTCCCAGTCAGAAAATTTGGCAAAAAGCTCACCCGATGCGAGATTCGAGCAGCCCCAAGATTAAAAGTCTTGTGCGCTAACCAATTGCGCCAACCGGGTTGCGGTTTCTCATTCATTGTGCATATAGCGGCCTCAGGCTTGGAAGGCCGACTACACGAATAACTTTTCTGCTTGGTGCCTGCAACACCTCCCTGCTCCTACCCCTACGCCATCTAAACCGATGACTCTCAATTGGTTCCATACTTCAAAGTTGATTTGGACTGGACACAGTCAGCTATTGATCGTCGGAGCCGATCATGCCGCCGAAGCAATCGAGTCCTACCACGCAGCATGACATCGACTCCGCTCTACGATGCCAATTTCACAAAGAGCATTTCAGGTGAGTCTCTCTCGCAGCGAAACGTGCAATACTCAAACTGGCCACATACTAAAACGTATGCAGGCCTTCTCAGCGTGAGATCATTGAAGCCACACTCGGCGGGCATGATGTCTACGTGCAAGCTGCAACCTCTTTTGGGAAAAGCCTGTGCTTTCAGCTGCCTGCAGTGATCACACCTGGGCGTAAGTGCTCTCGCTCTTCCTTCCTTCCCAATCAAGGTCTTTACCAGGTGCGAGGGTGCTTATCGTTAAATGCAAAGTAACGATTGTGGTCTCTCCGCTGCTGAGCCTCATGGTAAGTTACCTACTGTCACATATTTCATTCATTTCTCGGTCTTCTAAACTTTACTCTATCTAGACCAACCAAGTGGAAGCCCTAAGAAATTCCGGAATTGCTGCAAGCTCGCTAAACAAGGACACCTCGCCGTCTGAGAGGAATCGCATCCTATCTGACCTTGATACGGGACAACCACAAATCAAACTCCTCTATGTCACGCCAGAGCTTTGTGCGAAATCCCACTTCAGGGAGCGTTTGCAGGGCCTGCATAGGAAACGGCAGCTAGCAAGGATCGCAATCGACGAAGCTCATTGTATCTCTGAATGGGGTCATGACTTTCGCACCGATTTTCAGAAACTCTCTTGGTTTCGAGAGGCCTTCCCGAGTGTGCCCATCATGTGCTTAACGGCAACCGCCAATCAGCAGGTACGAAAGGATATCATGTCTGCCTTACGTCTGGACGCTTCACCAGACAAGACGAAAATGTTCTTGATGAGCCCGCAACGAAGCAATCTTCACATGGAAATTCGATTTACCAAGGATGAAGATGGTGAAAATGGCCGTATCGCCGACTTTCTCCGATGGATCCGTAGCGTCTACAGCCGCCGCCGTGCTGATGACCGAATTGCAGAGCTAACACAAATCAATGAACGGCCTGAAAGCGTACCCGGGATAATTTATACCGTCTCCCGTGACGAGTGCGAGAAGCTCGCATCCGCCCTTCGAGACGAAGGCATTGGCGCTCAACCCTTCCACGCCAAACTTTCCCCCAATGTCAAGAGCGAGACGTTGTCCCGGTGGATCGAAAATGAGCCCGGCTATGATGTTATCGTAGCGACAACGGCCTTTGGCATGGGTATTGACAAAGAAAACGTCCGGTTCGTCGTGCATTGGCGGTTACCGAAATCTTTTGAAGGCTACTACCAAGAGGCTGGGCGCGCCGGGCGCGACGGGAATGCCAGCTACTGCTTCCTATACTATAGCCGCGAAGATCTGGAGCGCAACACTCGCATGATACGCAGCGATTCGAGGGACAAGGACATCGGGACGATGAATGCGAGGCTTCGAAGTCTACAGGCCCTCGCCCTATACTGCGAGAATATAACAGAGTGCCGGCATTCCGTAATTTGCAGCTACTTCGGCGAGCGCCCGGTGTACGAGTGTGACTATGCCTGCGATTTTCACAAAGATCCGCACAACCTGAGATCTAGATTTATGAAGGGCCTTGCCAGCGAGGAGTTTGTCAGTACACAGGCTATGCAAGGGACATATGATGATGCATATTATGACTCCTGAAACAATTATTCATTCGACATAATAGAGACATTGGTGGTATAATGGAGGGGGGTGTTGTATATACAGATAAGAACCAAGGATGTTGATAATGTGCAGTCCGCGCGGGGCCTCCCATTCCTCAACCGAATAGAACAGTACTTCCAACCAGTCGTCCACATGTGAAGTGCAGCCTGCTTAAACATTTATCTGATGTGATCATCTCAGGTCGGACACATCAAGTGGGCCGAAACTTTCCCCTCGGCCCGTGCCTCCCGATAAGGAAATCCAGCTCCTCGCCCAACTTTAAATGCTACGCTATTAAAGCCAACTCTCGCATCCATCTGAGGCGGGGAGACTTCCTGCTCCTCGGAAACTCCAAACCTAGACAGTCAAACAGCAGGCAAATCCAGCGTCTACCACCTCTCGCCTACCATGGCCACCAATGCCGCAGAGCAGCGCCGCCAGCGCATCATCAAGCACATGAACGACGACCACCTTGAGTCGCTCCAGCTCTACCTCCAAGTCTACTCCGGCGTCTCGGCAGCCTCCGCCAAGTCGGGCTGCGAGCTCGTCGACGTGTCCCTCTCGCACCTGCTCATCCGCACCGGCGACGGCAAGGAGCACACCGTCCAGTTCGCCCCTCCCCTCGATGCCTGGGGCGAGATCCGACCCCGCCTCGTGGAGATGGATACCCTCGCCAGGGCCAAGCTCGGCCTCGCGCCCCTCGACGGCAGCGACGGCGACCCGGACTCGATCGTGATAAACGAGTGGCTGGCCCCTAGGGGGTTTGACGCCGTCGTCCTCGGCTCCATCTGCTGGTACTTCTTCTCCTACTTCACGCTGCCGCTCCTCGTGCCGGGAACCTGGGGGTGGAGGGTCCTGGAGGCCGTCTTCCCCGGGGGTCCCGCCTGGTACTGCTGGGTGGTCAAGGCCATCTTCTGGCCCGTGGTCGGGATCCACACCGCCGAGGCCTTCTTCTTCGACAGGACGCGCATGGTGAACAACGGCGTGCGGCGGTTCAGCCGGGTGTGGTGGCTGTGGGTGGGCAACTGCTGGATGGAGGGGTACACGGCCTGGAAGAGGGTGGATGCCTTGATTGCCGCCAAGAAGGAGGAGAAGCGTCTCAAGAAGCACTAATGAGGATCTGGGTCTCAACTGGAGGAGGAATACTTCGTCTTCTTGAGCTTGCTGCGAAGTGATATAAGGCAAGCGTGTTGGTCCTCACGACACATTCTTCGTCGGGGCTATACATATACTGGTTCCTTCATTGATGAACGGTCTAGGAGTTTTGTATAGATCTACCTAATTCAAAGCAAACTCTGTTATGAAAATGAAAACGGAACTTATCCCATAACGCCCTTGCCGTCAAAGCTGTCTATTCGCGACATGGTGACAAGTGTTGTCAGAACAGTGTCAACTCTAATTCCGTTCCCAACGGGGTAGTCGTCAAGACTTCGCCGGTGAGTTGAAATGTGCGTTCGCACTCTTCCACCTCCCCTGTCTCCCAAATCCAGTCCCAGCTCGACTTCACTCTCGTTATCCTCCTTCTCTACTTTCTTGGTTCCAAAGAAGATCCTTCGCTTGTCAACTCGCTGTTTTCCACCGGACGTCTGCCTGATATATCCGCTTCTATTCCTCGATACGGTCGAGGGCAGAATACGCTTCACCAGGAGCCAAATAGCGGGAAGACAGGCCACAATTATGACGACGGAAAGCTCGAGGCCAGTCCAGATAATTGTGTCGGTGTACTCCCACGATGCGTTGTTTGCCGTTCCGTAGGAAGTGATGTATTTCAACCGAACGCAGGATGTGACGAGGATCAGAATTCCCAAACCGAACATGAGCGAGATGCCCCATTTTGACCGATTGTCCATCTTCAGTCGGAGGAGCGACCCCATGGGGAGGAGGAAGATGATCAGGTCCTGCACGATATTGAGCCCCGACGAGACGTATTTGAGGATTTGGGAATTGAAGCACCGGGCTGGGGATTCGGGGTTCATCCAGCCGTCCCAGACCGAATGGACAGGTATGCATTTGAAAATATTGAGGAAGACGAGTGCTGTCGTTGGGATGGCGGTGATGGCGATAGATGCGTAGACCAGGAATCGGAAGTGTCTGTTCGGAGGGAATATTCGGAGATAGAACCAAAGCATCGAGATTTTGGTCAAGGCGAGGGCAACGAGGTAGAAGAGGTCCGAGATGTGGAAATACTGCATTGTGTCAGGAATACGGGCCAATCATTGAAATTAAATTAAGTTCATAGTACTCACTTTACTTGACTGTGTTACTTGATAGGCTTCCAGAGTCCACATATCAACTCCATATGCCAGATGACCTCCTATAACAAGGCATTAGTCATGTAACCCAAAGAACATGAGAATCTATTGCATACCGTAGTGAGAAAATACAGTGGAAACTGTATAGAAAGCCTAATCACGCAATCAGTCAATTGTTCCCATCTTACTATCCCGACATGATGGAAAACCTACGCCAACTGGGAACATGAGCCAGTCATCTAAGTCCCATCGACCCAGCAGGGACCATCTGGAGTACAGCCTGATCCATATGAAAAACCAGGCGGGAACCTCGAATAGCAAGGGTATCAAAAGCGACCACTTGCGGGACCTCTTCTCTCGATGGCAGCCCTCTGCCTCGAACCGCAGAGTTGCTTCAAGGGAAAGTCAGAAACACTAAATTTCCTAGTACTTGAATCGTCTTTGGGGAAGAAAATCAAGGGACGCACTTAGAATATCGACCGGCGAGCATTTTTGGCTCAGGCATGCCGATGCAAGTGCCTGGAACGTATTGTCGAGACACATACACGTGCCATTCGTGATACCACACGATGTTAGTGGGATGGAAGGCATAAAGCAGTCTCTCTACATGATTGAGTCAATAAGGGGTCTTCAAAAGAGTATCGAAGTGAGTTGGCATGATGTAATTTGCGAGTGAGATCGAGAACGAGAAATGAAAGGGGAAAAGAACAGCCTACACCACATTTAGGAAGTTTATCCGCAACGTTGAAGATACCGTCTATTCCACTTTGATTCACCGAAGCTCCAGTGATGGTGACTGGAAATAGTGCGAGCACACATATCAGCCTTTTGAGAAGCGACATGGCGTCAAGCCGAAGAATTCGAGTCCAAGAGAGCTCGGGTGAGCGAGGATACCGCTATTCGAACAGATGATAGACAAAACAGAAGGTAAAAGGAAGCGAGTGGCCGACGAGATACGAGATCGGTAGGAGAAAAAGGATCGTCTGGGAGACAGGTGTGCTGAGCTTACGAAGCCATTTCTGAATCTAGATCAACTCTGAGAAGCAAAATTCGCCAAGATTCGAGCTGGAAATGAGTGGATGAACAAATAAAGAAGCCAACTTCTAAGCAATGATACAAGTAAAAGAAATTCAAGTATAGAAAAAATCAAAGCTAGCAAGGGACCCAAAGAGGGAAATATCACGAAAGGAATAGAGGGGTATCAGAGTCCTAAAATGCTCGAAAGGATCGAGCTCAAAGGCCAGGCGACGGGATATATTACACGCATGAGAAGAAGCCCCGTCCCTGTCAACGTAGTAAGCCTTGTCACACCTCTTCCCATCCGATACCCTCTGGTAACACCTGGACTAGTGCAGCATGCAGGAATCGACTCGCAGACTTCACCCGACTGGCCGCCCCAGGGCCGGGCGGAGATGTCTGGATGTATGTAAGTGGGCACGAGGATTGATTGCCGCACACTGCCGTGCCGAACTAGCAAGAAGCAACCCTGTACACCCTAAACGCGGCATGGATCAACAAGAAGGTTCCTGGGGGATGTAGCATCCTGGGCTCAGGCTGGGCTGCAAGCATCAAGTCCCCTGTCTTGAGTCTACAAATCAGCGCCCCGGACTTTACAGATTTATGAGCGACGGGATATACATTTTTATCATAGGTAAACAGAAACATGCTACGGCTAGTCTTTCATGTATCATCAAGTTCACAGCACTAACCTCTCCAGAGGCTCCAGAGCGAAAGCACCGACCATTCATAGTCAGGTCCATGTAGATGTGCTTCGCGGAAGCTCGGGTCGGTGGGTGAACATCCATTGGCCAGTGAGGAACGAGAACAGACAACCTTCTATCTCGTCTCATGCAAGTTTCTCTCATAGTACATGGCGGAGCAGAGACAACATGTGGCGTAGGTTCCAGACCACCAGGCTTTCCGGCTGAGCATCAGCCATCCATGCAGATCTGCAGGTCCGCAGGTGGTCAAACAGGCTACGTGATACGGACCGGCCAATTGCACTTGAGTACAAGTAGGCAGGTGGAATTCACGTGGGAGAGTCGATCTAAAGGCCCATCTATCCATCCTTATGTACAACATTTTATGCAAAGCAGCCCACTCAAAGCGTTCACGCCGGTTTCTAGCAATGAAGCAAAAAACCACACAAAGAATGACGTGCAAGAGTGTGAACATCTCAACAAAATGAGAGAAAAAGGGAAAAAGAAAAGCGAGTGACAGAGGCAGATTCCACTATCTGTGGATCATTCGCGATTTCTCCTTTTTCGACGCCCGGGCCACTCGCTCTCATGGAAGTAATATCTCAGCTCTTGCCATTGAGGGGCTGGCTAACAAAAAAACGGGCGTCTCAGGTTGCTGTAGATAGACTGTTCATTAAAATCACGAGCAGGTCAAGCACCGCAACATTGCATAGCCCAAACTGTTGACCTGCATCCGCTGACCTCAACGCGCCCTGGCTGGATCCAGCGCCCAGAGAGAAGGATGAATGCATGCAAGTGGAGATGATAGTGCGCATAAGAGTAGTGGGACACGATGACACACGGCTCACATTGGTGAAACACCCCGTAGTACAGAGCTGTGAGGCAGGAGTCCATGCTAGCCCGAGAATGAGATCGACGACCAGCATCTGCGTCTAGGAGCCAGGAACAAGATACGCTCCGGGCGCTTCGATCGGCAGTAGGAATCCGCGCGAGCTGTGATGGATAGAGTTAGCGAGTTTGGTGTTGAAGTAGCAACACATAAACCAAATTGCTGCTCTTCCGATGACCGTAGCTTTCCAGTCGTGCACCACATCCAAGTCAGTAGGATTGCCGCGAGGGGGGGGACAAAAAGCAAGACGCCATCGGAATCATCCGACAGCCAAAGCCAGGCATGCCTACATCCAATGCCCCTACAAAATTTTCAAGCTCGGCATACGAAACAGCCCACCTCGGTGGAGAGATAGGCCATGATGCCACTGCTGCCGAGAACCTGGGGAAGAATATTTCTTCATTAGCGTGGCCTTTGTGCGTGATTGCAGGAACAGGCCATTGGAGAATCGACGGCGATGAGACACACGTCATACAGAGGCGCATGCAGGGGAAGAGCAGTGCCGTTTCTCCCAGATAGGAGCTGGTAATAATAGTACACGTCCGGAAACGAGAGAGAACTACCTAGACTTGGGTTCGGGTTGGCGAAGAAAAGCGCGGCCCGAAATTGATGGTTTGGCGACTAACAATTAGCTCCCGCAAGGCGTCAAAGTGGTGGGTCTCTGCCGTCAAGGCAAAATGTCCAATTAGGTTGCTACTGTAGCAGCTACCCTAAGCCATTAGGCTCTCGCCATCAAAAGAATCGGCAACTCCAGGCAGATTGACGTATGTATAATTCCTCTGTATTCCATCTGAGAATACATCAGTTGACCGCTGGCAGAATATTCAATTTGAGAAACACCTGGGAATCAAAACCAAAGCCATGCTAAACAGCGACTCTCTTGTCGCCTTACCCCATAGCATCATGTCAAGCAACAACCTCAGAATCCTTCTCGTTGGCAAAGGTGCTCGCGAGCACAGCTTGGCCTGGAAATTAGCGCAAAGCCCGTCAGTGGAACACATATACGTTGTCCCTGGGAATGGAGGCACCGCAGGGATGAAAAAGGTCACCAATGTGACTACGGCTACTGAAGATGACTTTCCAAGCCTGGTGAACTTCGCCAAAGAACATGGTGTTGGTCTCGTAGTAGCTGGACCTGATGACGCTGTGGTAAACGGTATAGCCGGATACTTTGAAGACGGTAAACATATCTTACTCATCGTGAACACGGTGGGACAATGCCTGACGGAATATAGCTGCTATACCTTGCTTTGCACCAAGCAAGAAAGCTGCCGAAGTTGAAGGCTCCAAGGCCTACTCCAAGGCGTTTATGGAGAAATATAACATCCCGACAGCGAGCTATAAGGCATTTGACAATTACGATGATGCAAAAGCGTACCTCGAGTCAGTTGACTGCTCACAGATCGTATTGAAAGTTGATGGTCTTGCAGCTGGCAAGGGTGTCGTACTTCCATCGAATGAAGCTGAAGCCCACGAAGCGCTAATATCAATGATGATTGAGTCCAAGTTTGGGTCCTCTGGGCAATCCGTGGTGATCGAAGAGCTCCTCGATGGAGACGAAATCAGTATTCTCACTTTTGCTGATGGAACCGGGGCATTCAAGTCGCTCCCACCAGGCCAGGACCACAAACGAATTCTCGAAGGAAACAAGGGGCCTAATACTGGCGGGATGGGGGTTTACGCCCCTTTGGCCTTTTTGACGTCTGATGACCTGCGAACAATTGATCAAGATATTATCAAACCTACACTTGATGGACTTCGAGCCGAAGGTAAAGCCCCCGCTATGCCTACCTCACACATTCTGACACTTTTAGTAGGTCGCCCGTTTGCTGGTATGCTCTTCACTGGGGTGATGATGACAAGCAAGGGTCCCAAGGTTCTGGAGTACAATGCTCGGTTCGGAGATCCCGAGACACAGACCATGATGATGCTTCTCGCCCCGGAATGCGACCTTGCGGCGGTTCTCATGGCTTGTTCCACAAAGAAGCTTGAAAATGTGGCAGATAGAATCTCTGTACGCCCGGGATTTGCCTGCAATGTTGTGGTCGCTGCAGGTGGCTATCCTGAATCGTACCGTAAAGGCGACGTTATCTCTCTCGGAGAGTGTCCTTCAGGTCTGTTTTTTCAGGGCTTTCTTGAACCGTCCAACACTTACACTGCCTGTTTCATGTAGGGATCGAAATATTTCATGCCGGAACTGAGAGAATCGCGAATGGTGAACTTGTTACATCCGGCGGTAGGGTACTGAGCGTCGCGGCGCATGGTCCAACCCTGGAGAAGGCGGTTTCTCTCGCCTATGAGGGCGTAAAACATATCCAATTCAAGGATAAGACGTATAGAAAGGACATCGGTGCCCGGTAAGTGCCCCGATCATAGTTTTGTTTCATTTTATGAAGGCTGCTGACACGTCTGATTTGCGTCCAGATGTTTATGAGTGTCCCCGAAAAAACCACACCCTCTGACGAAGCCTTCTCCCACGATGAGTTGATCTGTGGCCCTTGATATGTGTGCTGGATTGGTTGTTGACTTGTCATGTGGCTCTATTCGTGGTAGCTTAAATTCCTTCAGGCTAAATACATACCGTACTGGCTGGCTAGAACATGCAGTGAATGGCTGCTGAGCCAACCCAGTCGGGTGATCTTACATCATGCGAACGGATATCCGTGGCACTATTGGACAGATTTCCGACGGAAGCCGTTGATTTAACAAGGCCTAGGATTATCACCTGCTCAAAACAGGTACTAGTCGTCCGTACTCGACGTTTCTGACGCCGCAAGCCCCAACCGTTCGCGACTATAGCACTTTTTCGAACTAGTCGGACGACAACAGACTTGCGTTTCGCGAGTTAAAACTCCATCGCATGAGGCTCCCAGAGTGCGTGTTAGGAATATACTCGTATGCTAATTAGGAAGAAGAGAACCACCAGTCTTTCATTTTCTCTTCTATCACATCTCGTTTCGCTCTCGCGGCTTAGACATCAATGGCAAGAGCGATCATGATTACAAATCCACAGTTGATGAGTCATCCAATCAGCGTCCTTGTCTGCATTTTTTTTTCGCTCATCCTGCTCGTAACTCCGCTCGGCCTCAGTCTGGTCAAGAGATGTGACTCTTCAATCATGAATGGCCTTTTTATCAGATGAGATTGATAAAAGGTATTTGAGGATATCGTCCCTGCCAGCAGATTGATTTCGGGTCCCGGGGGATTTTCTTGGCCCCAGACGCCCCGCATCTCCCTTCTCTTCATCTACCACAACCCCATCTTTTGCGCCTGCGTAAATCCGAGCTCATCGCCATGAGCGCGCGCAGTGAGACTCCGGACTCCGAGGGTGGCGGCAGCCGAAATGGGGACCACTCACAGCCAGCGCGCAAGAGACAACGAGTGCGTCTGAGCTGTCTGGAGTGTCGTCGCAGGAAGCTCTCGTGCGACCGAGGCTTCCCATGCGAGCGCTGCATCAAGAGCGGCACGCCCGACCGCTGCAGCTACGAGTCTCGTAATGGTGAAGTCGTCAACGTCTCGTCCGGCGTGCCCCCGCCTTTCGCCCAGCTGGACGTTCGGAGGTTTGGTCTGGGTGATTCGCTGGCCTCGCGCGACTCCGAGGTCGTTCGCCAGGACCATGATCGCATCCGCAAGCTGGAGCTGGAAATTGCCCAGCTCAAGAACCTCATGCGGAATGGAGGCGTCTCTCTTGAGGGGAGCACAATTGCGGGCACCACCTCACCCGTGACGCAGAAGGATGAAGCTACCCACGATGACGACGGTGCCCCGCGGCCAGAAGTCCAGGAATGCATTGATGCCAGTACTTCGCTGGGAGACAAGGGAGAGTTGCGCTTCTTCCGCGGCAAAGGTTTCCGCACCCGTTACTTTGGCCCGCACAATGCCAGCATGGCCTTTGTTGAACTGACGGGCCTGTGCCCGTTCATGAGGGAGACGGCTGATGAATGGTTGCGTCCAGTGATTATGCATAACCACAAGGATCGCAAGAGACGTCGTGAGGAACGTGACATAGTTTTCGATCAACGTGATCTTGAACTGGAGGCGTTACTCCCCCCAAAGAAGGAGGTCGATGCCCTCATCTCCGTCTATCTCGATCAGTTCGAACAGGTCCATCGTATTGTACATATCCCGACCTTCCGGAGAGAGTATGAAAAATACTGGCTGCCTACCGGAGGGTCGAGGTATGCTGCGTTGACCGCGCTCATTCTTTCCATGATTGCGGTTGCCAGCTGCGTACACACACACGAAGATCTGAAATTTGTAGGGATGATGTCCAACGCCCGACGTGCCGCTGAGACGTGGATATGGGCGTGTGACGCCTGGAATAATAAACAGAGCCAGAAGCATCGCAGACTCATTCACTATCAGATTGCATGTCTGCTATACCTGGGCAAGAGAGTTAACACGATTAAAAAGAAGCGATTTTGGACAGGTGCTGGTGTACTCATTCAGGATGGTATCGCGGTTGGCCTTCACCGCGAGCCTAGTCACATGGCTGGTAAGATTGACATCTATCATCAGGAGATGCGCCGTCGCATCTGGGCCACAGTGACAGAGTTCGATATGCAAGCGTCCTTCGACCATGGTCTTCCGACTCTGGTGAGTCACCTGCATTACGACACTCGCGCACCGAGTAATCTCGATGATGAGGACTTTGATGAATCCACCACCGAACTCCCACCCTCGAAGTCAGTCTCAGATTATACGTTCTCGTCTTTCCAGCATCTAGCCCGACAAAGTTTACCACTTCGGCTAGAACTGAGCCGACTCTTGACTGGACCCATGTCTGAGATAGACTATGATCAAGTCATCCGGTACACTAATGACCTAACTCATGAAATCGATTCGCTCCCTTCGTGGGACATGCATTTGGAAAACACCAACCCCAATGAACACCCCAGTGACAGCAAGAAGAATCCGCTGACAGCATATACCTTGCTACATGTTCAGCTTCGACAATACATTGTTCCCCTACATCAACCCTACCTCAAGCTTCGGAAGGAGAATTCAAAGTACCAGTATTCGGAAATTATTTACTATAACGCGGCTAGAGATATCGTGCTCCTCCACGATAAGCTCTACGAGCAAGGGATCCGTGGTCTCAACTTCCTTCGCGAAGATGCATTGACAACCTGCATCAACCTCTGCAGTGTAACGATGCTCCAACCGCGGGGCTCGACCAACATGATCATGATCAATTCACAGCACACATTGAAGTTGATCGAAAAATGCATAGCGATGAAAGAAGACAGGTTGCTACGATGTGGAAATAACGAACCTTGGGGCTATTCAATCATGTGCTCTGCCCTAGGCCTGCTGGAAGCTCATCTTGGGACCAAGACCACCGAGGAAGCCAAGTCATCCTCTGCTGAGAGGTTTGTTAATCTTCATTACAAACTTCTTGCGAACCAAGAAACGTCCATGTCGATGGATCACGCGATACCGTCAACACAGCTGAGGCCAATGGGTCCCCCTATGCAAGGTCCGGCAGCACCAGCAGTACCTACAATTGATATCTTGGACAGGGCCAAGGTAAGAAGATCAGCACCACCTACAAATAATCGGAACATTTTCACTAAAAGCAATGAGCAGTCTATGACGCCTTTCCGATTCACACCAACCATTGCCCCCGTGCCTCTGGACACAGGCGCGGCACCATGGCTGATGCCGGCTGACCAAACCCAACCGTTTAATCTTGATCCCAGTCTAGAGCTTCTGGGCTTGAATCTCAATGAAATTTGGGGTGACTCGTGGGAGTTGGGCTAGCTGAGCACAGAAAGAGATGGAACAGACACTGATTACGAGCGAGGTCGGAAGCTGCTGGTTTATGTATGAGTAAAGAGATCAAGAGCAAAATTCGGAGCGGGAGTCGTCAACAACTCAACTCTTTCCCTTTTCCAGATGATATGTCGAGGGCTTCAGCGTTGTCTTTCTAATGAAGAGTAATTCAATCAAGCATAAACAGCGTCTCCTTAATAGTCCATGCCAACACATCCCACATGAATTGTTTATCAGGTAATGCGGGCCTCACAAATTATCACCGGCCCGGCTCCTCCTTAAGGGAATGAGTCACAGCCTCCCTCCCCACTGAGCTGTTAAGCAACATTACAATGTCCGTCCCTCGCAGAACATGCAACAAAGCAATTTGGCGCAGTGGAAGCGCGGTACGTAACACAATTTCTACTCATTCCAGAACCCCACTAACATCTCCTCAGCCGGGCTCATAACCCGGAGGTCCTACGATCGAAACGTAGAATTGCTAGCAGTTCTTTTTTTTTAGTTGATATCTCTCCTCGCACCTCGCAAGGCTGTGATCAGTTTTTCTTTCCCAGTGACAGTACAATAGCCCGTTCAAAATCATGTCCAATTTTTTTTTAGGGCAAAATCTAACAATCACCTTCCCTCTCCCAAAGGCTACTGCCCTGTTATTACCATGTTTTAAAATATTTGCGATTGTTCAGTACATGAAATCCAAAGAATAACTACAGCCCGGTCTCCATTTGCACATCACCACGCATGGCGTTTTGCTTAGCAGCCAACCAGACTGACTAGCGCCATTGACGTACTCCACATAAAGTAGGGCAAGCCCAGCCGACCTTCGCTCACAAGATACATGTACTTGAATAATGACCATGCTTATCAGCGAACAAAGCAATTTGGCGCAGTGGAAGCGCGGTATGTGATATCAAATGACTCACCCCAGTTGATCCCAAAACTAACATTCCTCAGCCGGGCTCATAACCCGGAGGTCCTACGATCGAAACGTAGAATTGCTAGCTACTTCTTTTTTTTGCTTTTCGTCCATCGCCTCGGCAATATATTTTTAAATTTTGGCCTGATGAGAGAAGGCACACTTCTTTTTAATAGTATTCTCTTTACATATTTCAAGCATGATCCTTGTTAGCTCCCACTACTAAATTGTTACTATCTAATACTCAACCGTCGAAATCTTAACCGGAAGCTACAAATTAGCTGACGACCTACTTATATTGCGCAATAGTTGGTTGATAAATGTTCAACCAGTCATGCTACAGGGTAGCTCGCTGATTATTCGGGATTTCTGAATCTAAGTCTGAACTTTAACAATAAATCGCCAAGCTGTGCCTGGTTCTAGAAGTGGCTTACTTTGAGTTTTGTTAATCTATATCAATAAAGATATGTCCCCAGATCAGTAATGTATGATTGGGCTGATCAAAACCTTTTTCAACGTAATTGGCGGTCTATACTCAAACCTTCAACACCAGAAAAGCTTAAACCTCGATATGTTCAGCCTGGTTGCCTGGGCACAGGCACCAGCGCCTCAAAAACTCTAATATTCAGGACCAGCTGGCCAGATAGGTATATAACACTGGCCATGCCCTCTAAGAGGGGGAGCTCATCATCTATCAGCCACAATCACCTTTCCTTTCCAACTTGAAGTTCATCGCCCACCAACCACAGCCACTTCAAGCAGCAACCGTAACAAAAACAAAATGTCAGCATCTGGCGTAAGCATCACTACTGGTTAAGGCCTGGTCGATGCAAATGACTTGGCCCTCGAATGGATGATAACATTCATTAGAGAGCAGCCAAGAACGCTGTTCAACGATTTTATCAAATTCTCAAGCCTCCGATCAATCAGTGGGCTTAGTGGGCTTACTGTTGATTGATCGGAGGCTTGAGAATTTGATGAAATCGTTGAACAGCGTTCTTGGCTGCTCTCTGACGAATGTCCCATGTTTTCTTCCCCTTAAAGCGCTCGCCAAGCCTTAGTAGGTGGAAACTTGAAAAAGAGCCACGGCAAATCATCTTAGGCCCATGGTCTCTGACCAACATTTCGCCTTCCTTAACATCGTTGTGGAAGAGGAGAAGAAGTCTACATCTTCAATAAGGAGAATATTTTGTATTTTGGCCCTCCCAATTATTTCCTTCTCGTATCCAAAGCCTCCTGACCAAGCTTCTGCAATGCAGCTTCATATGTATGTACACGCTCCTCATCCATCTCATCGATCCTGATACGCTCCACCTTCTTCGGCCGGCGCACGCTGGCACCCTTGGCAATCTTGCCCCAGAACCAGCCGCTCTCCTCATCCCCAACAAGAGTCCACGCACGGCCTGATCTTCCTGCTCGTGCTGTTCGCCCAACACGATGAACGTAAGCGGCCACGCTGGGTGGAAGGTCGTAGTTGATCACGTTATCTAGATTTGGAAGATCGATGCCTCGAGCCACTAGATCAGAGGCGATGATGAGCCGTAGTGGGGAGGATGCTGTCGTGAATGCCCGGAGAGTCTTCCGGCGAATGTGAGTTGGGGTTGTAGAGGTTAGGGTGCTGATATGTTGCTCCAGAGACTCATCCAGCAGGATGAGCAGTCTAGATAGCCGGAGAGCTGCCTCGTTAGACTTTGTAAATATGAGGGCTGTGGGAAGGGCGGATTTAGGCGTCGAGGTCTTGGTAGGGGCTTTTGTAACTTTCGATTCAGACTCAGACTCAGACTCAGACTCGGATTCTGAGTCGGACCCAGATGAGCTGGTATCTGATTCTGAATCCGAGTCTGAATCAGAGCTGGTGTCCGAACTGCCTTCAGAGCTTGTGTCTGAACTGCCTTCGGAGCTTGTATCGGATGTTGCGTCCGAATCAATGGCTGCCGGCTCCTCTATCACAGGGTTTTGGCCCGTCATGTGGTGACTTTTCAGAAGATCAAGTAGATAGAGCGGCTTCAGGTTGACGTTGTGAACCCTGATGGCAAACTCTTCCAGCTCTGATGGCAGCGTATGCTCACTTATTTGCATCTCACCCTCACTCTCTAGGATAATGAGTTCAGGCCTCCGTAAAGCCAACTGGTTTAGTAAGCTGAGATCTCGTGTCAAAGTTGCACTGAGAATCACCTTCCTCACACCATCAAGGTCGACATCTGGAGCCTCTCTGGCTGTCCACTTAGACCTCTTGAAGTGTTCCAACACCACTTCCAACCACCCCTGGAAGCTCTGCGCTAGAAGTTTGTCTGCTTCATCGACGACGAGCCAGCGGACATAATCAAGCGTGAACCCAGGGCTCTGCTCAATATGTTCAACTAATCTACCAGGGGTGCAGATAAGGACATCAACCTTGGACGAGAAGTCTACAACCTCTCCCTCCCAGTTCCCCAATCGTGGATCAGCACCATTCGCCCCATGGCTGAGCCAGCTATCGGCATCCGAGCTTGAGGATGTCTCTTCTTGGATTTGCTTGTATGCGACCGGATCATACCGGCTTTCCCTCTCAATAAGGAACTCCTGCTCTGATTTCATGGTTTGATTACCAATTGCGACGCCGACGCGTACCCTTTTCCGGTTTGCACCTTCGTAAGCCTTGACACAAAGCTCAAAAACTTCCTGGGCTTGTTTTACAAGTTCTCGAGTAGGCAACACGACTAGTGCCCTGAGCCTCGTAACGACGCCCTCACTAAGATCTTGAACAATTGGAAGAGCGTAGGCCAGTGTTTTACCGGAACCAGTTGCTGCGGATATAAGGAGATCTCCGGGCCTGTGCTTCCCTGAAGGTATTAACCGAGGCAGCGCAGCTGTTTGAACAGCAAAAGCGTCGGGATAGCCCTTCTCTTCCAGCACTCGAGCTGCTTTTGATAAGACTCCAAGTTCTGTGAATGGAGTTCTTGTGCTTTGAGAAACGCGGATGGGAGAAGCCAACCAGGATGGCAATGTCTCGTACTGAATTTGAGGTGCAACAAATGGTGCTGGTGCAGGCTGTGGCAACGGGCCTAGCTCGTGAACCTCTTGGGGTTCCGTGTCGGCAATGGTCGTATCCTCCTTCGGAGCCTCACCAGCCAACCGAAGTGACTTGGCTTTCCGGTCTAAGACTGTTTTGTGTCGTTGCTCATCCTCATCGTCTGAGGGGGTATCGTCTTCTGACTTTGGTTCCTTTTGCTTCTTCTTCCTCTTTTCCCTTTTCTTCTCCTTTTCTTCCTTGACTGGTTCAGGCGACAACGTATGTGAAGAGTCCTTGACTGTGTCGTCTACCGCATCCACCATTGTACCATCTTGGTCCTCCTCTTCCGGTTGGTCATGGGTTGGCTTTTCATCATCCTTGCTCTTTTTCTTCTTCTTCTTATCCTTGTCTTTCTTGCTCTTCTTTATCGAGATATGCTCCTCGGTATGCTCCTCCTCCAAAGGTTGTGATTGAGATGGTTGAGTTGCTTCTGGTTCCTGGTCTTCAATGATGGATGCATCATCTGATTTCGACTTGGACTTCTTCTTTTTCTTCTTCTCTTTGCTCGGAGTCTCTGCTGGTTCAGACTGGCTCAACTCGTCTCCAGATTTTAGCTTCTTTGAGTGTTCTCCACCACCTTGGCCGGACTCCAGAAGATCATCAGCGCCTTGGCGTTTTCTCTTGGAGCTGGGGGTATCCAATGGCTCGTCTTCGAAATACTGGACAGTAGGCTTCTGGACTGCGGGCTTGGTCGAGCTTGCGCCGGGGACATAACGCGCGTAACTGTAGCCTGCTTGGCCTACTTGGGTCTGTTCGGTTGTGTCTGGTAGGTTCTCGACGGGAGCAGTTGCAGTTCTTGTGGCTGTGTTCTGGCCATTCGCTGAAGGAATATACCTCGAATACATTTTGAAACTACCAATTGACCGTCATCCGAAGAGACAGATCTGGGCCAAGATCTGGCGATCAACTGAGCTCGGAATTGTAGATGCGAAGAAGACCTGATCCAAAATTTTAGTGGACCTCGATCCCCGCGACAAATGAAAATGCGTTTGCGCCGAGAGTGCCAAGGCTTGTCAGGATTCTGCCGTGTGCGACCGCTAAATTTCTAAAGAGATAAGGAGCTATCGATAAGATACCGTCGTGTCGCATGCCAGTGCCCCTCTAATTAAGAACTGCCGCCGACGTACGTGACAGCTTCCCCCCCTGGAGCTTCAAGCTTCGTCGATCAATCCGCCTCCAGCCATCAACAAGATGTATCGCGACAACCACGTATAATGATAATGGAATTTCCCTATCGGCTTCCGAGATAGGAATAACAACATTTCTAGCGAGTCCGATATTCTCCACTGGCCAAGATGCCGCGTCAAACTTACAACATCGCTATGGTTAGCGACTTCTTTTTCCCACAACCAGGAGGCATCGAGTCGCACATCTACCAACTCTCAAGCAAGCTTATCGACCGCGGCCACAAGGTCATTATAATCACACATGCCTACGATGATCGAAAGGGCGTCCGCTACCTCACGAATGGCCTCAAGGTCTACCACGTCCCCTTCCTGGTTATGTACCGCCAGGCGACCTTCCCGACCGTCTTCTCGTTCTTCCCCATCTTTCGCAACATCTGCATTCGGGAGCGCATCGAGATTGTTCATGGACACGCCAGTTTGAGCAACTTATGTCATGAGGCGATTCTGCATGGGCGAGCAATGGGCCTTCGAACCGTCTTCACCGACCACTCGCTCTTTGGCTTCGCGGATGCTGCGAGCATTCTCACCAACAAACTTTTAAAGTTCACACTCAGTGATGTAGACCACAGCATATGCGTGAGCCACACATGGTGAGTCTGCACTGTACTCTGGTTGCGCTGATTGTCAGCATCTCTAACAGCTTCTCCAGCAAAGAGAACACGGTATTAAGAGCGTCCCTCGACCCATTGATGGTCTCAGTAATCCCCAATGCAGTCGTCGCCGAGAATTTCCGGCCGCGCGACTACAAGGAATCCCCCAATGGCTCTGGCGTCTTCGGACCAGACACGTCTCCGAACCGCCTGGGCCCCACGGACGTAATCACCATTGTTGTGATTTCTCGTCTGTTCTACAACAAGGGCACCGACCTGCTGACTGCCGTCATCCCTCGCATCCTGGAGAACCACCCCTACACGCGCTTCATCATCGCCGGTTCCGGTCCCAAGGCTATTGACCTGGAGCAGATGATTGAGACCAACGTCCTCCAGGATCACGTAGAGATGCTGGGGCCCATCCGCCACGAGGACGTCCGCGACGTCATGGTCCGCGGCCACATCTACCTCCACCCCTCGCTCACGGAGGCATTCGGCACCGTGATCGTCGAGGCCGCCAGCTGCGGCCTCTACGTGGTCTGCACCCAAGTCGGCGGCATCCCCGAGGTCCTCCCCTCCCACATGACCACGTTCGCGAAGCCGGAGGAGGACGACCTCGTGGCCGCGACGGGCAAGGCCATCACGGCGATGCGCAGCGGCCGCATCCGGACCGAGAAGTTCCACGACCAGGTCAAGAAGATGTACTCGTGGTCCAACGTGGCCATGCGCACCGAGCGCGTCTACGACGGCGTCACGGGCAAGATCAGCGAGGAGGAGTTCTACGGCTTCGACACGGGCGGCTACACGGGGAGCCGGATTCGCAACTTCGCACTGATTGATCGGCTGAAGCGCTACTATGGCTGCGGCATATGGGCTGGGAAACTGTTCTGTTTGTGCATTATTGTTGACTTCCTGTTCTTCCTCTTCCTCGAATGGTGGCAGCCGAGAGAGAGCATCGACATCTGCCGCGATTGGCCCAGAAAGGTGCCCCCGGAGGAGAAGCGTCATTCCTCGACGAGTCGTGGACGGGACCCGTCATGAGCCTGATGGGCACGGTTGATGACTGTGCATCTTGTCTCATTGTATGGATTAATGGTTTAATGGCAATTTCTCTGCTACAAGCGATCGTATTGGATAACAAGGACTGGCGTTATGGGTAGCTCAGCCGTGTGCTTTTCACGTACATGGATGGGCAAGGTTACACAAATGGATCGATGAGATCCATCGGATAGATGGGGTAAACTTGGAGAAACTGAATTACATTATAATTTTTTGATACCTCTGCTCAGCAGACGACAAAAACCTCCAAGAATACCATGCTGTAAGAATTCTACTGGCTATGCTAAACTCGGCGCGCGCTCAAACAGTTCACACCAACAAGAAAATTCCATTTATTTGTACAATCGTGACTTATTCAGGCTCTGACACGCCGGCGCTTGGCCGTCCCCTCCCCGGCTTCCTCTTCGTCCTCGGCCGTGTCTTCGGCGGGGGTAGCGACACTAGCCGGCCGAGGCGTCGACAGCGGGGGCGCCGTGCGGTCCTTCTCGGCGCTGCGCAGGTCACCGAGCAGCTTCTCGACCTCGAGGAACATGCTCTGCGTGTTACGCACGATGCCGTTCTCGTCGAGCAGGTAGCCAAAGACCTCTTCCTCATCCTCCTGGGAACGTTTCATAAACGTCGAGCCAGGGCCGCGATCCGGGTCTGGGTTGTACATGATGGCGTTGCAGAACATGTGGACCAGCTCGCGCTCCAGCTGCGCGCTGTTGATGATTCCCTTTGGCGGCACGATGTCCTCCGAGTAAGGTAGGTAGACGCTCGCGGTCCCCGGGTCGCCGCCGGGGAGACTGTTGGCGGCCGCGACGGCGGCCTTGTTTCCCTGCTTGATTGCTGACCTGATAGATGTTATATCCTGAGGTTGCAGAACAATCTGGCGGTAGTTGGGGGCATCCCTCTCCCTCAAGGCGGTGGCGAACATGTTGGCATCTCGGTGGCTTGAGATTTGGTCCAGTGCTGAAGATGAGACCTTTGTGAAACCCCGCGTCCAGAGAACCTGGGCAGGGATGGTTGGCGTAGTAGGATTCAAGGGCGACTCATTCCTCTTCCGTTTCAGATTTCGGGATGAAGCCTTGGGAGTGCTCAAGTTTCCTCGTCCAGCGACGCTCTCATCCGCGGTCGTATCACCGGTCTCCTCATGTGGTCGTGGTGTTGCGTCCTCGTGCTTCACCTTCGTTGCCGATGCTGCATTGCCCAGATCAGTCGATACATCGTCATTTTGAGATGCAACAGACTGACTGCGTCTGCTAGTTTCAGCCGAAGGAGTTGCGCTTGTGCCCCGTTGCTTTTGGCTTTGGCGAGGTGGTCGGCCGCGCACAGGCTTCCCGCTTGGGGTATCAATGGCAGGCTTGATAACCTGCTTCTTCGGCCCTGTTTTGGGAGTCGGGCGAGGCAAAGCCGCAGCACGCAGAGGCGGGCTCATGGGCTCAAATGCTGGACTTTGCGGTTCCCCAATCATAGCGCCAGGCGTTGATGGTGATGGGTGCGCTGCCCATTTAGTACCAATTCCACGCAGAACGGTCATAGGCGTATTCTGGATAGGAGTCTGTGGTTGAGGGGGTAGAACGCTTGTCCGTCTTGTAGCCAAGGGAGTACCTGCTGCGGCATGACGAATCATATGCTCAGGAATGGCTGGTCTTGGAGGGTGTGTGACATATGGTGAGGCATAAGGCTTGTCTTGATGTGAAGCAGCCGGGGCAGGTGATGCGGAGGGGACCGCAGGCGTAGTCTGGACTGACAAGCCGTGTTGCGCATGGCCAGCAGGCCATCTTTGAGAAGGCACTTGAGAAGGGGGTTGAGTTGGCGCGGGAGTGCTAGTTGCTGGTGTGGGAGACGCTGCAATAGGGCGCGGTTGCTGGGCTGCTTGAGCCGGTTGGGGCTGCACAGGACGGTGTTGAGGAGGGGGTACGGGGGTTTTGACAGGCTGTCTAGGCTGCGGTGAGGGCGCAGTTCCAGCTGGCCTGGGCGGTCCTTGTTGTGGTTGTGGGATAGATTGTGCGGCAGTCTGAGGTGGAGCCAATACAGGCTTGGTTGGAGTCTGGGCAGTAGGCGGCGTGGGAGCCGGAACTGGTGTTTGAACATGAGGTTGTTGCTGAGAATATGGCGTCTGATGACCTTGCCATGGTGCTTGAGTTGGTACAGGCTTCTGTTGCGGTGGTAGATGAGGGGTAGTAGGTTTGGGAGCTGGGGAGACCGTCTGTCGAGGAGGTGGTGTTTGCGTAACCTGGGGTGGTTGATACGGCTTCTCCCACTTCAGGGTACTCTGACTTGGGGTAGTTGGCGGCTGGGGGGTAGAAGGAGTGGCCTTGACCTGGGTGACGGTCTCGGGTCGAGGAGAGATGGGAACCTTTGGAGGTTGTGCTGGTGCTTGCAGCACTCGCGCAGGCTGCTGGGGAACACCGACGGGAGCCTGAAGCACAGAGCTGGGTGTCGTCGTGGGTTGTGTTGTAACGGGAGCCGGTCGGGCTGAGGTTGTCCCCGGTGTTAGATGACTTGGAGGCGCAATAGCTGGAGTGGTAGGCGGCCTTGGGGGGACAATGGGTGTTGTCGAAGTCGGCCTCTTGTTGCCAGCAGCTACCGCGGCAGGAGTCGGTAACGAGGCTGCAGTCATGCGTGGCACAGAAGGCTTGACCTCACGCGGCGACTGAGTAGGCTGTCCATTCTGGGTAGCTAATCTCGCCAACCTCGCATTCTCGCTCTTCTCGATGATGTGTATCTCATTCTGCACGGTATCATATCGGACCTCGTCTTCGCGAATCTGCTGGACTATATTGTCTCGATATCTCGAGTAGAGTCGATTGACGAGCACCGGGATCTTGTCGATATTCTCGTATACCTCTTTCAAGGATGGTAGAGGTGGGCTCGCGATCTTGCGTTTCTTAGAATTCGGCGACGTCGACCCATCACCAGCCGGCGCGGCGGTTTCGCCCTTCAACTCCTCCTGGAACAGACGGAAGAAGAACTGCTGCAGAGCCTCGGGACTCAGGCGCGTCGGGTCGTACTTGTGATCCCCCTTCACCAGGCCATTGTTTCGTAGTTGCTCCGAGATACGCGCAAAGGCCGCGGTGTCGATTCCTTGCGACAGGATGGACTGGAACAGGAGTAGCGACTCGAGGGGAGTGTAGGTTGGCGGGTAACTCATTCCCCCTCCGTGGTGACCACCTCGCCCGCGGTCGAGGTGCCCTCCACGCTTCGCGACAAGCTGAACAGGCGCCACGATCTGTGGAGATGGATTAGCTTCTCACGTCGGCAGCAGCGATAACGCGAAGGAGTCATCGCGAAAACACGTACAGGCAATCTGGATCAGGCACCTCAACTCGCTAAATGGCGGCTTCGGCGCCTCTCATCTGTATAGAACCAGTCGCGCGTGGCCTCAAGGCTGGTGATGCCAACCGCGAATGATGGTCGTGATGGATTTTCACTTATCACGTGATTGGACCGTACTGGACTGACGCAGAAAATCAAGGAGGTGAGAGAACGAACCAGTCTACGGCCGCACCCAGCCAATCCACTAAGTCGCACCCATGCATCACGTGAGCACCCTGACGCATGCAAACACGTGTTAGTGCTCGTACTTGCCAAGCAATACTTTCAATGAACAACAGCATCTAGGTTTACCAATCGACAAATTGAATCAAATAGAACGAGTGCACGGCTGGCACATTCCTGCTAATTTCTATACACCCTAAACTCCCCAAGATATTGTGTATCAACTGAGGAATCGCTCCCAAAGCGTACTCCCATCGCCCATCCTGTGTAACCCGGACCCAACCCCGCCTTATAATACAAAATAAACTGAATCTAATAATGAAGGAATTTGTTGTTCAAGATATCCGTAAACGCCGCCAAGTTCCCATATGTACAAAGTGTTGTAATATTATACAGCGTAGATATCTTACGGTGATGATTCGCTTGAATCCCCATCTAGGCTCTGAGATCTCGTCTCGCTTGCAGCCTCATCACCCTGTTCTTTGGGTTGATAGTTAAGGCGCATTTTCTCGTCTAGCATTGTGACTAGTCTTTCCGAGTATTGGTCCAACAGACCGTTCAAGACTGTCTCGTTCATAGCTTTGCTTCTGATTACCCTGTCCCCCAAGGCGGAAGCTGTAAGCCTCAACTCTTGATCTAACTCTGCGAGAACCTCGGCGTTGATTGGTTCTGCAGATGCGAGCTTTTTTCTGTAAGCTCTCAACGTGCGGCATGCCTGCTCCGTTGACATATTTAGACTTCCAAATGATGAAAGGGAACCCCCAGAAGATTTCCTGTTAATACTCGTGCCCAAAGCCGGTAGAGAGGGCCGTCTCTTTACTTTTGACTTGGGGCTCGCAGGGGGGCTCGCCGTGTGGCCGCCATCAGAGGGCCGACGTGAGGGTGTGTCCTCCGCAATACTAATGGTGCTGGGGCTTGCGTATTGGGGCCCGGTGGGTGTCTTTATAATATTGGTCAAAATCGTCTTTCGTGATGCTCGCCGTCTGAGTGTCCGAGGTGGTGATGACTGGCGACCACCTGGCGTTGGTCTTTGAAATTCGGCCAAATCTGCCTTTGATAATACTCTTCTCAACGTTGGGCGTCCTGTTGGCCCGTCTTTTGCTGGTGAAGGGTCTCTGCTAATCGATTTCGGTAGCGGATCATCCAAGTCCAATGTCCAAATCATGATAGTCGCGTCAGAGGCTACACTGACGACCCTCCGACTCCCATCCTCACCATCTATTAGAGCCACACCATTGATAGCTTCAGTGTGGCCCCATTCACGGTCCAAAAATGAGCCCGAGTTCGCATCATAAAGTCTAATCGACTTATCCGTATTGGAACAACCAAGCAAAAAATCTTGATCCTTGGGCTCCCAGTTACCAAAGCAGAGGGAATCAAGAACGGTTGTTTCAACCCCTCCCTCATCAAGACATTTAAAGTTGGCAATTTGGCGGCCGGTGGCGAGTTCGAACTGGGAGAAGGATCGGTCGAGATAGGAGACGAAGATGTTTTTGCCATCTTGGCTTATTGCCATGGAGGATGGTGAAACCTTGAGGGGGATTACCCTCGAAGGGATGGCGGCAATGGTATCGGGGTCGTCCATTTTGCAGACTATATCGTGGACTTGCATAGTTCGATCTGTAGAGCATGTTACAACTCTGTCGTCTGACGGAATCAATACTTGGACCACTTTAGCATTGAACTCGAGCGTCTGGAAATGCTCAATCCTGCCATCTGAGGCTCTGTGAAACAGCTGTGTCGTTCGATCACGCCCGCAACAAGCCATCAGAAAGCTTTTCTCGTCCTCGAACATGCTGATGCCGAGGCAGTCAGCGGAATGTGCCTTCGTGTCGAGGAGGCACTCTTTAGTCTCAGTATCCGTTATTCTCAGAATACCTTGACGATCAGCCGTGGCGAGTAGTTTTCCACTGGCTGATACGTGAGCACAAGTCAGCTGGTTAACCAGGCCGAACTCGGCATCAAAGTCTGATACATCAAGGGCGATGTCCATCGATAGTTTCACACGCCCTTCTAGATCCCAGAATGTAACCTTCCCCGAACCTGACCAGGTTAGGAAAGAAGCTCCTATCCTGTTCGATTTCGGCAGTGGCTGAATTCCAGCAACCGCCTCTCCAACGCCAGGAATTGGAATCGACGCTTCTGTTTCGGTTTCGTCTCCTGGGAAGTGATCCGGGTTCCAAATGTCGATGGACTGGTCAGAGTCAATCGTGACGAGTTTATTCGTCAGGAACCCGATGGCAAGCACACCATTTGTTGCTTGTGTTGTTCTCAACACACTCGTGGCAAGGCCCTCCATGAGGCCCCCAACATTCACGGTTGACAATTGCCCTTGGCTGCCACCGATGTAAGCGAGATTGTCCCTAATGATAATAGAAGTAATGTTGTATCCCAGGTTGAGGACTTTGACCAGCTTCATCTGCTTGTCATCATCGTCCAGGATACAGACGTCGCCTGACTCGGTGCAGATGATCAGCCTGTTCTTGTCAACACAGGCACAGCTGAAAGTTGACTCAAGAAGCCCACCCAGCAGAACGTTGCGTCCAGGCAGTGTTCTCTGGGATGGCGGTGTTGGGGCCGACTCGCTCATGAACCTCTGCTTTGTGGGCGAGATTGCCGGCCCCTCCTCGACTTTCCACATCTTCACATGACGCAATCCTAAAGTGAGGAGAGAGTTGCCCAGCCAAACCATGTCTCTGATGTGGGACGTACACCGGTTCTGCTGGAACAGCTTTGCAGCACCGGTTCGGGGATCGATCCTCCAGACGTAGAGGAAGCCGTCGTTGGCAGCACCTAGGGTGGCCAGCCACCGAGAGTCTGCCGACCAGGCCACGGCCTTGACACCAAAGGCATGTTCGTTAATGGAAACGAGCGGTACATTCGACGACGCATCGTGTAGATTAAATATTAGAACCCGGGGTGCATATCCCGTCTCGCCCACAGCCAGGTATTTCCCATCCCGGCTTAGGGCTAGACAGGTTGCAGCCTTCACACGCTCACGGCTGGTCCATGTTTTCGAGCTCGGTGAGTCCCAGTCGGAGTAGGGTGAATCCCTAGCGGCGACTCGCCCGCGACTGTCGTTCGCCTTGGGAGTCCCGACTGGAGTGGAAGAATTATTCTGGAAGGTCGCCGCCTGGTAGAGGGGCAAGGTTGTAGGCCGAGCTCGGTAGAATCGCTGCAAGTACTGGTCCCCGCACACATCCACCACCACCACTGCAGCACCAGCTACATATGCAAAGGAGGAATTGACGGTGTCGAATCCTGTGGGCGAGGTGCACGTCGTTCCAATCACTCTTTTCAAAGCCAGGCGGGGTTCATGGGAGAGGCGGGGGCGAAGCGGCGAACGAGTCTGTCGGTTGTGGAACGGAGAGTTGGCTGGAGTCAGCTTCAGCCGGTTATGGGTGGGTGTTGCAACAGCCATGTCTGTGCCATTGACATGAGGAAAGGTTGGAGTACAATTTTCGAAGGGCCCCGAGGAAGATGATGATGGTCGAAAAAGAAGAGGAAAGGACAGGATCCGGGTCCACTGGGAGTTGGCGGTGGCGGTCAGTAAAAAGAGAGACAATGAGTGGTTGGGCAGGTGCAATTCGTCGTGTGGTCTGCTCCCCGTCCCTACGGAAGCGGGAGGTTTGGTCTACTGTAAAAGCTGCGGGCGTGTTAGCGGCATACGCAAACGTCTCGGCCGACGCGGGCACTCACAGCGACGACAGAAAAAAATGAAATTCCGCAGATCCTGTATCCGAGCAAAAATACAAGATCGAAAAAGGTCACCGCGGACCTTGAGTGAGGGGAGAGAAGAATCTGGCGATAGATAGCTCACGCCCGGATCAGCTCTCTCGTCAATCACTGAGGTCCGTCGAGACCAGGGTTTGTTTTCACACTCGGTTTCCGGGGAGCAACCAGCCAGCCATGCAGCAGGGGCTGTTAGTGGCCGAGTTTGGAGCCTAGCTGGGGCCCCCTGCCCACTAAGACAGCACCTCTTGGGGTTAGCTCGCAGGTGCCTCGTAGCTCGCAATTATCTGAATGACAGCCACAGCCCACTAGCTCTATCTCTCGTCCACTAACCGAAGCCCGACAGGGACTCGAGAAATATGTCAACCACAAGACCAACTTCTGCCCAGCCGCTGGGTTGGGTAAGCTTCATTTCTCGCCGATCCTGGTCCTCTCTCGCTCCTGTATTGCCATCGACATGGACTCGGGCCAGTATGCACAGGAGGTGGTTGGAGCTCAGCCTGATACGCGGATGTCTTGCCCAGGTACCTTGGGAAGATCAATCAATCATCTCGCGATTGCAAATGGAAGTCACACTGTCTCACACATGATCCGGCTGCCGTTGGTTCTGCTTAGCGCCGTCACCGCCACCTGGTAAATGAGGATGCACCAGCAACCCCAGTTCCATCGTCGAGTTCCACAGTTCCCGCCCATGTCAGGATATAACCTCGAAGCGATGATAATAGTACCGCTATCTGCACCGGAAATGCTCCCAGCATCTTGTACTGCCTGATGTACCGGCTATCGTTCCGCTCACACTCACCTGGCGCTACAGGTGATGAGAACCAGGATTATCCAACTAGGTACCTTAGTATTCGTCCATCGCTCCAGCTCGTGTGGCCATTATTATTAGATGTGCTCATGTGCTGAGGGAGGATTAAATTCGTGCTTGGCTAGCCATACAGAGGGGGCCTCCTAATTTTAATCAGCTTTGGACGCGAACCATGACGCAACGTGCCCAGACGCGCTCTATCACATAGATTGGATTGGTCAGTCCTTACTTGGTATAACACGACATTCGATACGTCTATTTCCACGTGGATAGGTTTATTCATTGGACAATGCAGACACCACAGAGTGCTCTGGCATTGGACCTAAACTGCCAGTCCTTCCTCGGACGCCTCGTCCCGCTCAAGTCGCTCCAACCCAGTCCCAACCGCTCCGTATACTCTAAGTGGCACCAGGACATCGAAGCTCTCGCATGCTAGGTTCTCAACCGCAGCAAGCAGTAGTCCGCCTCGATCGTCCTGTGAAATTTTCTCTAATAGCGGGTGGTGCTTTTGCTGTCCGGGGTCCAGACTATTCTCGTCTCGGGATGGGACAACAAACTCTACTCTAATCTTCCACTCGAAACCTACGCCGCTCGTGATAAACTCCGGCGTCGCCGTAATAGGAATTGTAGGCGTAAATACTACGCGCCGAGAGTAGAGGGCCGAGTCGGACGAAGTAGCATAGACCTTTCGTGTGACTCGCTGAATGCTGGATTCTGATCGAACTGCTAGCGAGCCGTCTACCCTCTCCGATGTCTCAAGGCTCATGTGAATTGCGTAACATGAGACGTCCGTGTCGACCAAGTCGATTACCATCGTGACCATCTCTCCAAGTCTATATGATGGCCGAGCCAGCATCACGACCCCAACTCTCGATCCGTTCCGGGAGATCTCGAACCGGTTGGGGCTCTGCTGACCTGGGGTCGTCATATTGCTTCTCAATATTGCTAGGTCGATGGCCTCTCGGGACTCAGATTCCTCACCCAGCATTGAAGGGCGCCGTGACCCTCCAATTGCGGATGGTGACAAGAGACCCCGGGAGTGATCCCCTGCTCGGGCAACCAGTTCATCCACGTACATTGAAAAGTCATTCATCGTTGCCGGAGTCCGGGAAGGCGCCTTGCTCTTGTGAGACTTGGGTTTTTCGCCCAGAGTCTCAACCTTTGCCTCGTCTCGAAGTAAAACGTAGGGATTCATTAGATCGTGACCTAGAATCTCCCCGACGCTATTGACACCTCCAAGAACTCGGAAGGGTACTTCGACAGACCGAACATGTTGCTCTCGAGCCCCGCCAACCCGTTGCGTTCCGATCACCAAGCTGTATGACACTTTGATAGCCTTGCCCTTGTGGGTTGGTGGGAGTCCTTTGGGTAGACGAAAGGTGTACTCATACGCCCGGCTTTGCCCTGGAGCTAGTTGTAAGTCCACAAACAAGATGGACTGCGGTGTGTTTAGTAAGGGGATTGCTTTGGAATTCGCAACTCCCCGCATCTCCTTTATTGTGCTGAGCTCGCTCTTGTTGAGGAGCTCGCCGAATGAATTGCTGATGCTTCCCCATCCAAAACTACGCAACAGCCCCGATTCTCGATGATTTGCTTGTTCCAGGCCAATCACACCCCCTCCTCGTCCGCCAACAACGGCTTTCTTTTTCACAGCCTCGAATGCGCCGAGGCTGACCAGCGAGCCATCCAAAGAAAAGGAGCCTTGGATTTGTGCGTAGCCCATCATCAACGATTCAGAAGCTCCAAGCTGTGGTGAAGAAGCCATGCTCGAGTTTCTCCGGAGATGCAATGGCCGGTTAGATGACCTTACCGGTTGCTGTACTGTGTATTCTGAGGCCAAGGTTTCCGAGGAATTGTTGCTCATAGAGTAGAATTCGCCGCTGCTACGGGGCGTACCTCCAGCGAGGCTCGTGCTTGAGAGGATTCGGGCCGCTGGCCTCTCACTTAGGATCTGTTCTTTAAGGCGGTTGGGGGTGCTGTTGTTCTCCTGCCGGCCAATTCTGGGACTCAACAGGTTTTCGTCGGTTGGTTTGACGCGGCTCGGTATCGCGGAGGATGATGGAGGTGGCGCGGCAGGAAATCTAAACTCGGGCATGGGCATTGGTGAGCTGAGAGGAGATCGCCGAGGAGATCTCCGCGGTGGGCCAGAATTGGGTGTATGAGCGCCTGATCCCGGGGGAGGCAGGCTACGGCCGAACCGGTCTGGCGGGTATGATGCATTTTGTAATAAAGAGTTGTTCATTCGCGGCGATGAATTGATCGAATTGGCAGCAACTAAGATCTAGGTAAGCTTTGGAGAGGTATAGGGACATCTTTCGTCTTGGTACCTGATGGAGACCCGGGAATGGGCGAGCCATGTACACGTGGAGATATCTGCAAGCTTGCAGAGCGATTGTGCGCGCGTAAAGGCCGCGGCGACTTTATCGCGCCCTCGTTCCGTAAAGTGTGGTCATCTGCTGGTGCTACTGCCGAGCCAAATGAGAGGATGGACAGGGAGCGCTTGTGCGCATGGCCTTGACGGCCATCTGGAACAGGGCCAGGTGAGGGCCATTGAACAGACCCTGAGCGACTGCGGAAGTCCGACGCGGGGACGCTCACTGAGTGTGCAGCTCTCCGATGGCCTTTCCCGAGCGGCGGCGACGACAGGTTCGGGCTCGGCTTCGCACGGGTATGTAGCGACGAGGTCAGCCTGTGTCTGTCGGACTGAGCATTGGCCTGCTGGCCCTGGTCCAGCTGTTGGCGCTGGCGCTGCTGCTCCTCGGGACTGGATGCGACATTCTTAAAGGTGATGGTGCACTTCACCTCCTCGCCAGCGAAGACTGTCTGATCGTGCCAGCGAATAAAGACGCGGATCTGGCTCGACTCGTGAGGGGGGGCCATAGTAGTCAATCGGTCTTCCCACCAGCTACTAATAGCTGCATGTAGGGCGCGGCCGGGAGCTGGGACTGGGCATCTCCGTGGGACGGGAGCTGGTGATGGTTGCGATGCGAGGTGGAAGAGTTGGAAGCTCACGGACTAGGCTGGCTCAACGTCATGGCGGCCTTCTAAGTGGTCCATGGATTCTGGAACTCTGCGAAAGGGGTCTTGGGTTAGCTGCGTCTTGGTTCCTGGCTGGGGCTCTGGCGGCATGTGATTGGGTAAATTGGACCCGGATCTTGCACAGGATCCGCTGGTCTAAGAGCCCGCTGCCGAGTAAACTTCCAGCAGGGGCGCATCGCTAATTGAACTGGTCTAAGCCACAGACGACGCATCAGGGAATTAAATTGTGAAGAGAAAGGAAAGGCAATTTCCGTGTGCATCTATCAGACTTTTTTCTCTTTGCATATTTCGTTTCAGTGCATTCCAAATCGTATCTGCATACCAGCCACTTAGAGGTATCTCAACTCTAATCCGTTATCGTTATACTCCACTCTCCAGCTCCTCCGATATTGGCTGTCTCCCCATCAATCGTCGCTGCCGTAGAATGGCCGATAAACCAAACACCAATAAGGCGAGTAGGATCAAAGCCCATGGGATATACATTATGCCGACGCCGCCGATTGGAGGACTTACTGCATAACTCATTGCGCTCACGATGATGAGAGCAACCCAGATTTTCCGACGCTTTTGCTTCTTGCAAGCTCGGATGAACATCCCCACCTGGAGGAGGACGAAAATGGTGTTGGAAAGCACCCAAGCTGCGAAACTGAGCTGGTTTCCAAACACCGTGAGGTAGATGAAAAAGGGCGCAATCATCAAAATCAAGGCACGCCAATACTCAGCCGAGACGGCGACACCTCCTACCAGGCCGCGTAGGATTGCACCCATCGCTAGTGACAGTGGAAGCGTGAGTAGTAAACAAGCTGCAGTGATTCCAAATGTCTTCCATGTGAAACTGAGAGGCTGGGAGGTTATCGTGACCGAGGCTAGGATCTCTGTTGTAGTTCGCGATTCTGGTGACACTGCTTGGAGTGAGGACTTTGTCCATTGCGATAACCCAGGCAAACCTTCCAATACGTCACTCTGAATATTCATACCAAATATACTAGTAGTAAAGGATAGAGGAAGGAAAATCCCCGCCAAAATTGTCAGCCTAAAGAGCCGCAGTTCCTGCACCGACTGCGAGCGAGAGCGTAGAAGCTCTTTATCTTCCTTGACACGTTCCTTGATTTGCTCTAGCTGCGTTTTGAAGTACTCAAAGTCTTTCTTCAAGGCCACCATTAGCGTCAAGGCTTTTGATTCATCCCTCACATGGGCATGGGTTGAGAGTTGGCTTTGAACTGTCTGGCTCCACTCAGACAGTGCTTGGAGCACTTCTTGAGCATGGACTATTCCGCAGTGGCTTGCATTTATGCAATCTTCGAGATGATTCAGATAGCTCATCTTGCTTGAGGATGGGCTTTGCCGGATCATCATGTGCTAGAGATCAATGTCAACATGTGTTCGTTTTTTCCTTCGCAGTGCTCTCATTGCTCAGAAATGGCAATTACTCACAACTATATGAAGCTGTCTATGGCATGCAAATACGAAGCGGGTCGTGTCTTCCTTTATTGTAGAGAAAACGCAGAGGATGCTGATTAGTACCTCCCTCTCGGGGTCCCAGTCCTCGTCACGACAAGCTTCATAACTCTTATCTCGCAAAGTAGAGAACAAGACTGTTGAATGACATGAACGAAATCGAATCAAAAGCCGTGGCTGCCCGTTATCCGACGTGGCAGGAAAATACTCAACTTTCGCAAACTCCGGGACTGGAAGAGATTTATGTGGCTCCCAGACGTACACGGTGATATCAGACGTGTAAGGAGTCACATCGCGTTGCCAATAGAGGAAGACCTTGTTCTCGGCACAGGTCCGGTCCATGTTACCTGCACTCTCAGGATTTACTCCCCAGTATATCTTGTCCTGAAGCCGGCTAGCTGCGTTGCCTGTTGGTCGAAGCGAGTAAGGCTTGAGAGGTGGGGGGTGGCCAAAAGAATGGAGATCAAAATCAGCTATGCGGCTTGAAAACTTTGGTATTTTTGTTTTCCAGCAATGGGAAATCAAGCACTGAATTATCCATATTGGCTGCAGATGGATCTCATTCAAACGCCCCAGTAGACTCGCCTTGGTTTTGAGGTAGAATGAAATCAGTGATCCCAGATCTCTAGGATCTGGCTGCTCAGACAAGACCTTGTGAGTCGCCAGTAAGATTATGCTCGTTCATCTGGGAAGGTTGGTACCATACAGGAGTTGTAGAGTTTTAGGGGTTGTCTCCACGAGTCTATTGATAAGCTCAGCTGCCCAGCCAGAGAACATTTGCCTCTGTTCATCTCCTGGGATGACAATCAAAATCAGGGACCAAAACACGCAGGGGGTAGAGATAATACCTGTAGGTGCTGTTTGCGGCCCCTTCGGAGTCAAAATCCAATGGGCTGCTAGTCTGTTAAGAGAGGACATTTCAGCGCCGACGCTTTGTGTTTCTAAAAGATGACGGTCCTTAAGTTGACTATACTCGGAAAGTAAATTTTTCAAGTACTTTCTCGCATCATGCGTGTCGGGAGTATCGTTGATCATTTGCCGGAGAGCTTGTTGGACCTGATCATGGGCCGTATCGGAGCCGAATATAAAGGTCAAAATTCTAGTTATTAGACTTTTGGTAAGATCCCAAATTAATCGTTGAACCTGATCACGGGCCGTATCGGAGCCGAACATGGAGGTCGAAATTCTGGTCAGTAGACTTTTGGATAGATCCCAGATTGATCGTATTCTCACAAGTAGCGGCTCTTCTGGAACGCTTGGAGTAGCCATGTTGGACATTCATGTTAACGAGAAAATTGTGTGATCTCTTTGAGGCCTCAGCCGAGCTTTCTTTAGGATTGGTGCAGGAAAGTGCAATTTCAAATGCGGGTGAGACGCCTGCTGCTGCAGTAGTGCCCAACAACATGCTGAATGTGTAACATCAGACACTGCAGCTGACATACGACCCAATCAAAGTCTAGGTAGTGAAGGAATACCTGTAAAAGCAGGTCCCTATAGGCCAGCGGCGCTGTGGTGGTCATTTATAAAAATCGCCTAGTAAATCAGAATGTGCCACTCCTAGCGTTGACCTCGAGGCGTTCTCAGCAACTTGATACATATCAACCACCAATTACGCTTCCAAATTGCCAGTAGCGCAAGCCCCATGTATACTCGTCTTTGAAGATCCTTTGGCCAGCCAGTGTAAGTCATACTAAGGTGACTCGCCGGTGCAGATGTTGCGCAGCCGCTATGAGCTGGTGAGTCCTACGATTAGCTGATGGGACCGAATATATATAAGTGAGGACAGTGAAAGCTCAGTTGCTATTGAAAGTATTCCGTGTCTTCTTATGTCCTGTTGTTCAATATTCAGTTACCTAGTCTTCCAATGTAAGTCAACCAGCCACAAACCCGGGGGCAATTGACTCACAACCTAAAGACCAGCTCTACGACATCCATTGGAGATGTTCCAGTATACGTTAATTATCGTGGACCGTCCAGTTTCTCACAGCAGGGCACGCGAGAGCCAAGCATCTTGGCCAATCCCCCTTTCTACCTTGGTCGCAATCAGACCTCCAAGAGCTTGAGCACATCACCAGCTGATGTTCATTGCATAGCGCTTTTCCCGGATTGAAATTAGGATCGAATTAAAAAATACAAGAGATTTCTTTTACAATGATAAAGCAGAAGAAATTAAAAAGCATCACCAGACAGTCCTACCGTCGATATTCGCAAAGCACTCCAAAGTCGGGGAGGGGTACTTAAACTAAATTAGGGTGACGTTACCCAACCAACCGGATCATTTGTTCCGGCTCAGGTCTCCCTTGGTGTAGTTGGTTATCACATAGCTCTGTGGGTCTCTCTCCCTTGTCCTTATCGATCGAACGTAGACTAACAAAAACAGTATATTTCCTGCATCCCTGGAGATATGCTAAGGTCGCCAGTTCGAGCCTGGCAGGGAGAAGATTTTTTTGCTGAATCGAGAACACCACACCACGCTTTTGCGTTGCTGGATAGAACGGCTGCGAATGAGAATGGGAATATTTTTTAGTGCTTGAACCAATCATTAGTATCAACCCGTAAATCAGGTCGAATCTTGGATGCGATACGGTAACAACTTCGCTCCGGTCCAGTGCAATCACTACGGTTGACTCTGTGTTCTTGGTGGAAAAGAGTCATGTCCCTCGCTCGTCCTTCGATTGTCAAATACAGTCTTTCAATTGTGAAGCGCCTGGCGATATCACCCATAGCAAAACTGTGGCTATCAGCCAATTGATCTCGGTGCCCTTGGCCCAGAGGTGGATAACCAACCATATCCTTCAAGGACGTTAAAGAGGATGCATGCCCAACCAGACTGTCTCCATTTCATTTATGAAAAATGGTCACAAGCTTTTCATGGTAGTTACAGCGCATCAACCTCGGCCTACACTCGCTAGTTGCAGGCCATATGGGGTTCAGGGAGTTTAAGAGCTGATTCTATAAATACAAATTACATGGTTCTGTCGATCATCGTTAATACCTAACCCACAGACCAGATATGGTCCCCGAATAATAATAGCGACAAGTGGATGGCCGTTTGAGGGGCTGACGCCCCATTGCAGGCATTCTCCAAATTCTAGAAAAATCTAGCACGAAAATGAGCTCACAACCAGACAGAAGCGCAGAACGGCCAACCTACCTGAGTCATTGAACAACTACAAGTAAATAGAATAAGGCAACTAAAACCATAACCACTATCATTGGAATTCAATCAGTTAGCTTGAAGTGTATCGCTGAGAGTGTCGACTTGCCAACAGTTTCGACAATGCCTCTTATCGTCTCTGTCGTCATTGAATGGTAACTCAACGCCAAAACAATATTCCTTTGATTTAGTATCTAAGCCCTGAAGATAGAACAAAACTTCCGTTGCCTCGTGATCGAGTGATAAAATTTAGTCAAGAGTAGGGTGAGAGCCTTCATCACATATAGTTGTTAACCGTGAGAGAAGTGATTTCAATTCCTACTTTCCAAGGATTTTAGCAAATATTAACGTGGCTCAAGGATGATATTATCATTCAGCGTATCGAAATACTCCAATTCCTAAACGTTCGTAGACTGAGCACACATGGGGGGTAGCGGCCCAGAGACGGAAACCAAGAAGCTTATGGCAAAGCCACCATTCCAGACTTGCATCGCTTTTTTGACTGTAAAAACAGACTCTAGGTGTGCATAGCGTATTTTATTTGCCCTAGAGACATCAATTGGCGCGTTTCTCCGTACATGTTTGTGTCAGAGTTTCTGTTCATCATTCCTACCTGTCCATAACTACAAGCCTATATATTGATTTCGAAGTCCCTGGAAGATCCCAGTCATGGAAGAGAGATTCGGACACGTTCGACCGTATTTTTGATCAGATAATTGGTATATATCAGAGCTTTTGGCGTTCATTTGTAGGATGCTTCGAGGGCAGCGATCGTATCTTGTTGAGAGCCTGCTTATCAGAGAAGTTGGCTGAGGGTTGTGCATTGACAAAGAGACACTGAGAAAGAAGTAATGAGAATGAAATACAACCGCATCGGTGATTTCTCCCATTGAATTTCCTTCAGCCCTGAGACTTCCTCAGCATCGTAATAGGCAGTCTTACCAAGTTAGACACTAGAGTTCAAATGCGGGAGGAGTGACATTACTGCCAGTTGCTCAAGTAGGACGCCAATCCCTCAATGTGAGAATACCACACCCATGGTCGGGATCGAACGGTCAATTCTAAGTCCGAGCACCAATACCGATTCTTCATGGCAAAAGTGCGACATCTGAAACGTACTCCGGCAAGCTGAAAGGAAGGTGGGAGACTTGCGCTCGGAAGTGGAGTTTGAACCAACAATTATCGCTTTTGCGGAAGTCTCGGTTTGTCGTTCTCGGACTCATCACGTAATGAGGAAGGATAAGTGCTCACATCGTGAAGTAAGCGGCTAGACGTGGCCCAGCTTATCTGTCAACAGAGATTAATAAGTCAGGGGTAGGGGAGGCGAGGTTTTAAAATATGCCACCTGGAACGGGTCAACGGGTGAGGGGGAATGGGGGAATCAAAAACTCCAGTTTAATAGGTCATGCGTGCATCCAGAAATTGTATTATGTATATGTAGGAGGTTAATAATATCAGTGCATGATCCTTCAGGGAAGCCCTCAACAAAGCACCCCACTTGCCAGGCATGCTGCAATACGACGATCGTTAAATTAGAAATGAGCAGTCAATGAGTCAACGAACCTAAATGTTGGGGATATCTAGATGGGTTCCAGTGTTATACGTTACATAACATACCCGAGGAGGTTGCCATCCATGGCTGCTCACAGAGTCGTATGATGTGCAAGTGGAAGAACTTCTCATTCGCCAGGCGCGAGTCAATTGGATCCTGGGGGTAACTGCAACCCCTCAGACCCCAGAGCGGACCCGCAAGCGTTGGCAAACTAAACAAGATCTAGACACTGGACATCTCGGAGGCGGGATGAAAAACGGAGTTTCGGAGTAGGCTTGTATGGCCACTGCGCGAGGTGGACACGGAGGCGGCAGTGCTTTCACCCATGCATCCTGTTGGCCGGGTCAGTAGGATGCGTGCATGACCTGGACCAAAGGAGGACCGGACTGGCTGGGCTAGGGCAAGCGGCGCCGCAACCGGGAGGGACACGAGTCTGTGTCTGCAGGGAATGCTTCAGATATGCTGTGGGGTACCTCGCCGTCCTTTGCACCGAGGAGGGGCTCGCCATTTGCCCAGAGCCCCAGTAAAAACAACCGCTCTGGTGACCAAGTGACACCCTGCCTCGGTTGCTGGGGGAAGGCACAGCGACGCGCCGGCAGGACCAAACATCCCATCTCCGAGGCAGTGTCTCTG